GTGTGCCCCCCTTTGAAATCTGTGCTCCTGTGAAAGATTGTTCCCCTTTTTCTCCAAGGCAATGATGATGATGGGCACACACTTCCCTTGGCTTGCCTCTTATTGGGCAATAACACGTCCATAATCCACAGCCTTGGCAGTGAGAAATGATGAGGGTAAGGAATGTGTGTCCCCCGCCCTCCTGACACATCCTCATCAGCAGTGCATCCTCCAAGCGGGGTCTGAACAGGGAAGTTTTATACCTTAAAGAGGGTCTGGGTTGAGAACAGATACTCACTGCCAGACAGGGGAAGGACCATTTCTAATCTGACCCAGATGTGCTGGGGAAATTCTCCAGGTCATGTATTGGTACCAGACTTGAGTGTGGAAATTTCCTAATTGGGACCAGCCATTGGATGAAGGTTTGAGTTAATTGGGGTCCCAGGAAATAGGTGTCAGTGTGCAACCACCATAGTCAGCAGGAGCCTTGTCCAGTCAGGAACCATCATTATTTATATATTTGACATTGGGTCAGAATGAGTCAGAATAGCAGGAGAGTACAGGCTGTCATTGCTTATATGTCTACAGTCTTTAGCCCAAGGAGCTCCGTATTGGAGTCCTATCACCTATAACTACAATAGCCAACAATATGTTTAAAAAATCTCAATTATCACAGTCAGCTAGGTGATGCCACAGTGGGTAGAGCACTAGACCTGGAGTCAAGAAGACCTGGGTTCAAATCCAGCCACAAGCACTAGCAGTATGACTGTAGACAAGTCATTGCACCTCTGCCTGCCTCAGTTTCCTCATCTATAAAACCAGCATAACAATAGCACCTACTTCCAAAAGTTATCGTGAAGATAAAGTGAGATATTTGTAAAGCACTTTGTAAATATTAAAGTGCTATCTAAACGCTAGCTACTATTGTTATTATTGTTGTTGTTGAGACTATCTGGGGCTCATCTCTTCTGGTCCTGTGTTGTCTCACACATGAAAGGTGAAATATCCATGGAGAAAGACAGCACAGATGGGGGCTCAATTTTTGTGCCTTTATGCATTGGGATAAAAGCAGTCTCAGAAATCTAGAGTTGAAAGAAATCCCACAGGTCACCTGGTCCAACACGCTGTGAGAAATCATTCATTTGGACCCCTTCTCTATTCCAATCAGTATTAATCAGTTTGATATCCTACATAAATCACATAGGGATAGATAGGTTCTTATAGGGGGTCTCAAACTTTAATGTAATGTTCGCTACTTGTTTACCAGTTCTGAGGCTCACTTGTGCAACCATGAGAATGCTGACAAAGATATCTCCATCCTATTTTATTTAAATTCCATGTGAAAACCCGGCATGGGTGGGATGCTTTGATTCTTTGGAAAGTCCCTAGAATTATTTTTGTACCTCCAGACCGCCCTCTGTTGTCCAACATGAGCAGGTGATCATCTATGACTATCTTATGACCACTTAGTCAGTGGAGATGACCCATGCTTCACCCAGCCTGTGACTCCCCTGCTGATATGCCATTTTTGGCCCTCAAGAGCAAGGTCAATCAACCAATGACATTCTGTATTTCACCATGCCTCTTTTGCATATTTGGGTATTAAACTATAAAAACAAGTTCCTGGAAGAGAGGGCCTTCTCAGATCACAAGGAAGATCTGAGGTCCACTTCATTACAGGGACCATGGACCCTTTTATGAAGTGTTGTTGGCTCAGAGCTCTGCCTCAGTTTCTTTTATTGTAGGTCGGATAATATTAATTCCCACACCCCTCATTTTACAGATAAAGAAACTGAGGTGAGTGCTGGTCACCCAGAGGTGGGTGGGGATGCCTGGAGTGTCTGGCTCATTGAGTTATTGTGGGTATTCAGGGAGGTGGTGTTTATAGATTGGCTTGTGAGCCCTGACACCGTGTTAATTATTATTTTGTTTTGTTCTGGCAACAGCGGATTGTTTTCCTCCTTGCTTGAAGGACTACTTCTGTAATTATTATTGTGCTGAAAGCTATGTCTATAAGGGCAGGGGAACTTTCAGCTATCTGGATGAATGTAATTAAGCATCGCTAAGTCAATGCTCTTTTCATAGCCAAATTTTAATGGCTTTTTCTCAATCTGCAGCCTTTGACATTGTCAATTGCTAGATACTCTCTCCTCTTGAAGTTTTTGTGATACTGCGGGCCCCTGGTTCTCCTCCTTCCTCTGTAACTACTCTTTCTGAATCTCCTTTGCTGGATCTTTACCCAGTTCACACCTGCTAACTGTGGGTGTCCCGTGGAATTCTGCCCTGGGCCATCTTCTCTTCTCCCTTTATACTATTTCATTTGGTCATATCAGTCCCCATGGGTTTAATTATCATCTCTATGAAAATGATTCTTAGATCTATTTACCTAGCTCTAACTTCTCATGTCCTCCACTCTGCATGTCCAATTGTCTACTGGACATTTTAGACTGAATGTTTTGCCGACTCCTTAAACTCAACATGTCCCCAAAGCACACTAATTATCTTTCTCCCTAAACTCTCCCCAACTCTTACCTTTCCCATTACTATAAAGGACGCTACCATCCTCCCAGTCCCTCTGACTTGCAAGCTAGGAGTCAGCCTCAGCTTCCCACTATCTCTCAACCCCCATATCCAAGCTGTGGCCAAGGCCTGTCCATTTCACCTGTGCAACATGTCTATTTCCTATCTGCAACATCTCTTGTCGATTTCACTTCTGCAACACCTCTTATGGATGTCACCTTTGCTTCATAGATTTCACCTCTACCACATCTCAAAGATTTCACCTCTGCTTTATAGATTTCACCTGTGCAGCTTCTCTTATTGATTTCACCTCTGCAACATCTCTTGTCAATTTCATTTCTGCATTATCTCTTGTTGATTTTACCTCTGCAGCTTCTCTTGAATGTTTCCTTCTCTCCTCTAACACTACCCCAGTCCATTGTCCTCTCAGTTGCCAAAGTGACCTTCTTAAAGCGTAAGTCTTTCCATAGCATGTCACCCCTCTGTTGAATAAACTTTAGGGGCTCCCTATCAATTCCAGGATCAAAGATACAATTCTGTATTTGGCATTTAAAGCCCTTCACAATGGGCCCTTTCCTACCTTTCTAGGCTTCTTATCCTTCATTCCCCTCTCCATGCTCTATAATCCAATGACACAGGTCTCCTCATTGTTCCTTGCATATGGCAATCCATCTCCAGACTTAGGGGTTTTGCAATGTTCTTTAGGCCTCAAATACTGTCCCTCCACATCCCCACCTCCTGGCTTTCCTTGCTTCCCTCAAGATTCATCTTAAATCCCATCTTTTCTGTAACAGTCCCTTCTTGACCCTCCCTCCACCCCCCAGTGCCTTTTCTCTGGGATTACTTCCCAGTTACATTGCATATCTCTTGTTACTTGGCATGTTGTGTTCCCCATTAGGCTGAGGGTTGCTTGAGAGCAGAGACTATCTTTTGCATTTTCTTTGTATCTTCAGCACTTAGCACTGTGCCTGCCACATAGTAGGTAATTAATAAGTGCTTGTTGAATGACTGGCCTGCTGTCAGGGGGTTCACCTAACCGTGGATGTGGTCCCAGTAGGCCAGCTCTTGCAGCTCCCGCTTAGGTCCCACTGAACATTCATCCCCTAGTAGAGAACATACTGGTCATTCTGACCTCATGACCAGATGACTCTAATAGCCTTGGGGCCCTTTGGGTCTGGGAGGATGTTTTCAAAGCTCTTATGCTGGGACTCTCTCTGGTTTGACTTGGCCTGACCCCATGGGGTGCCCTAGCGGATTGCTTCTAATCAGGGCATCCCTTTTGTAGCTTAGGCTCTGCAGGAGTGAGCTGACTACCTGGATTTGCGGTGGAGTGGCGGGATTCACCTCATATTATCAAGAAAGTGACAAGCCTCATGGAAAGAGGGGCAGGGATCCCCAAAGCAGAGTCACTGCCTGTTGGGCCTTGAGGAGTCTAGCCTGTTAGGTGGCGACCAGCCCTGTCCCTGTCCAGGCCCTCCTCCCCTCCATCACAATAGCTTCCCACTTAGTTTCTTCTTTCTCCCAACCAACCTACATACAGTTGCCATGGTGATTTTCTTAAAGCATAACTCTGACCATATCCTTCTCCTCTTCTGGAAACTGCTGTGTCTCTCTATTGCCTTGAGGATAAAATGCAAAATCCTCTCTTTAGCTCTTAAAGCCCTTAAGGATCAGATTCCAGTTTGCCTTTCCAGGCTGATTGTACATCACTCTCTCCCCACTCTATGTTACTGTCAACTGCCCTTTGAACAACCTGTCCCTCATGCTAGATTTCACTCTTTCCTTATCACCACTTCTTTGAAGTGAATGATACAATATGTGTACATTATATTCCCCTTACCCCTAGCAGGATATAAGATCCTATTTGTACCTCCAGCTCTTGACACAGTGCAGGGCACCAGTAGGCACTTAATAAATGTTTAGGTAACCTGGGCTTGATGAGGCCCAGGTGGACCTCCTCAGGATTAGGAGACTTTGGAGAATCAGGGGTCACAGAGACTAGGCATGCTGCAGGGTATGTAGGCAAGCACCTTCCAGAGTCCTTATGTTTCCAATTCCTGTGGCCTTGAAGGATTTCTTCCACCCAGTCCTGGAGGTGGGGAGGTGTACCTGAAGGTGGCAGAAGATGGAGGAGGACTCCTGTACCTGCCCTGACGTGTGATAAGAAGCAGAGTAGGTGTGGGTATGACTTTATTAGGGGCTAAGAGCATGGGAAAGTGGAGGTATTCACAAAGAAGAGTGTGTATTTACACATACAGCCGAAGGTGCTGACTGGACTCACCCGGTGAGATTCCTAGAAGAAGAATCATGTGGCCTGTGCCCGGGAACGTGTCCACGGCTGGGGCAGGCTAAATGAACAGCAGCAGCAGGGCTGGTGGCAGGGGCGGTTGGGAACTGGTGAGCGCACACTAAGTCCATTCTGTAGCTTTTTTCCTCCTCATCTTTTCCCAGAAGTCGTTGCTGGAAAAAATTCTGCTCATGACTTAGATTTAAATCCCTTTTTCCTCTGCTTCCCCTGACTGACTGGAGGAAAGAGGGCTGAAGAAGACAGGAAAATTTAAGCCCAGTTGCAACATTGCTGAATCTGCTACTGGTAAGCATAGTTCTTTTCTTGCTTACATACATGTTTTATGTTATCAGATTATGTTAACAAAACATGTGGCCACTAAGAGCGAATTGCTAAATCCTATGGATTAAAGTGATTGGAACTTGAAGTGAGGCTCGTGGGAAGAATAGGGACTTGAGTTAAAGAATTTGGCTTTTTTTTCTTTTGTAATTTCTGACTGTATTCCAGAATATATGTAGTAGACTACCTTTGAACCCTGGAAGAAAATGAGTAAGGGGAAGAATCTGGAGATGTTGTAGTCATCTCCAGGTACAGTTTCTGGCTCTGCCTCTAGCCTGGCCTCAGCGATGTGCCCTTTATTCACATACACACAGACACACAGACACACAGACACACAGACACACACAGACATACACACACACACACACACACACACACATGCACTTCCACTTGTTTAATTGACTTCAGCTTCCTTCAGGACTCTGCTCAAGCATTATACTCTATGTAGGGCCTCTTTACCTGAGTCTTCTATTGGCCAGTGTCCCCTGCTCTCTATACAATCACTTTGTACTGATTTTGTTTATGTTTTGTATTTATTTCTATGTGCACATGTTGACTCCCTCATTCACATGTAAGTTCCTTGAGGACAGGGACTGTTTGCTTCATTCTCCATATCCCCAGCACCTAGCATAGTGTCTGGAACTTAGCAGACACTTAATAAATGCTTGTGGAGCAAATGCATGAACTGAATGGGTGTGTAGAATAGGAGACTATCAATCAGTCAATGAACATTTATTAAGCACCTGCTAAGTGCAGGAGCCAGGAAGATGGCAGAAGGTTCAGAATTTGCAGCTAATGGTATTCCTGTAGGGATCCCAGCCTGGCTGAACCATGCTCAAATGAAGAAAGCTAAAAGATAGTTCCTGCTCTCACAGAAAAGTCAAGGAAGAGAATGGAAATGACCACTTGGCCCTTGTCCTTTCCATTTCCTCATGACAAATTGAGATCCAGAATTCGGTGATGACGCCTCTTTGGAAATGCCCGTCTCAGCATCCTAGAATTGCATTTGCTGAGAGCTGGAAGATAACTCAGTGGCCACATGGTCCAAGCCCCTCCCCAGCTAAGAATTTTCTGCAACATTTCTGACAAGGGATCACTCAGCCTGGGCTGGAGACCCCCAGGGAGGCCCCCCTCCTCTCATGAGGAGGCACTTTGAAGCCGCTCATTGTGGGGAAGTTTTCCTGACACCGTGTCTTTTAGTGGCTTTTACTCATTGGCTTGCTTCTGCCTTGTGGGACCAAATCCCTCTCTTCCCCAGGACAACCCTGGCAATACCTGAAGACAGTTGTGTTCCTCCTGAGACCTCTGCTCCAGGCCAGACATCCCCAGTTCCTTTGTTGCTGTTCAGCTGTTGTTCCATCCTATCTGACTCTTCATAACCCCATTGGGGGTCTTCCTGGCAAAGATACTGCTCATTTTACAGATGAGGCAAACAAGGTGAAGTGACTTGCCCAGGGTCACATAGCTAGGAAGTACCTGAGACCAGATTTGACCTCAGGAAGATGAGTCTTCCTCCCTCTAAGTCCAGCGCTCTATCGATGCAGGGCCACCTAGCTGCTCAGTTCCTTTAGCCAATCCTGATAAGGCATGGACTGCAGATCCTTCACTGTCCTGGTCATCCTCCTTTGGACACACCATCGTTTATCAACACCCATCCTAACCAGAACTGAACACCGAGATATTCCAGTTCTGGCTTGCCCAGGACAGAGGTCAGAAGAACTCTAGATGTGTTTTTTCTAGGGAGAGTGGAGCAGCAGGAGTCTGTCTGCCAGTGAAGGGAGTGGCACCATTAGGACAAGGGCGACATCCTCACCAAGGTGCAGGATGGAGAGCCACTGGTCCAGAGCGAGGTTCACCTATAGAGTATGAGGAGGGCTGACCTAGCAGCCCAGGCAATAATAGGGCAATGATGGCAATGATTCTGAGAGGGAGATCCTAGTGATTCTGTGACTCTAGGAAAGTCTTTATTTGAATGGCAAGAAGCAAATCTTTCAAACGCAGCCTAGGGGTGGGGCACCCAGAAATTTCTGAAATGATGGTGAAGATGTTTGGCTGTGGCTTCCCTGGTGAGAGGTTCTGGCCTTTGGTGGGAGCAGAAATCACATAGTCTTATTGGGTATGTTACCAGAGAAGAACCACGCCCAGAATATACCGATTTTATGGGTGCCCAAGGAAGTCCACACTGTGGGTGTGGAATGGGGCCCAAAATCTGGCAGAAGGCTCAGAATCCCAGCTAACCACATTTCTGTGAATCTGGCAGCCTGGTCAACCTAGGCTCAGACAGGAATGAGATTAGCGGTGTCCTGAGGACAGAGCCCCATCCAGATGTGTCCAGCTGGCTCAAGGCCAATGGGGCAGTTCTGGGGTGCCCTCCTAAGAGGAGAGCAAAGAAGCTAGGGCTACCGTGTTTAAGGAGATGCCACCAATCTCCCCCCAGAGCCAAGGAGGTGATGGGTATGGGGGAGCAAGCTGAGGGATTGTCACACTTGGGGTTCTCTGGGTAGAGCCTCAGAGATTGGGATAATCTGGGATCTGCTCTGTCAAAGCACCCACGTTTGCCAATACACTTTCAGAAGAACTGATGCATTGTAGAAGCTCTGTCCTCCTCAGCTCTCCTTTGAAGAGAGCCTCGGCACAGCAAGGTTTGGGCAGCTGGCTGGAGTGTTTGGGGCATGGAGGCTGCGCCCCACTCCAGTCACTTCGGAAGTAAAACGCAAGTCCCACAAAACAGGGAAGGTTTTGTTTTTGCACCTGACCCAGGGCCTGGCAAGTGGCAGCTAATGGCTGTTTTGATTTGAATTGAATTGGGAGGAATAAGCCACACTCAATGCCCATCCTGGGGGCAGCCGGGCCTCATCTGGACATCCATCAATCGCTAATCAGCAGGCTCCATGGCATAGCAGGAGTTTCCCCCCAGTACTCGCGATGGGTTGCACTCCCCTCAGTGATGCCCAGGGCTGTACACGCCCCCACAAGTGGAGATGAAGAAAGTAGGGCTCCTAATACTGGGAAAAGAGGAGGCAAGTCTTGAATAATCAATTGGTTTGTTTTCATTTCCTAAGTGTCTGCTACTTAGGGCATGAAAATTCTTGGGAGGCTTGAAACCAACTGAGGAGGTAGCCTATCGGCTGCATCACTTGTCACCAGACAACCTCCCAACCTGCCTCCACACCAGATCAGATGGGCCGGAGAGTCAGTGGCAGAGAGCAGGACCCGCGACGCCAGTTGGTGGAAAGGGGACTGAACGACAGAGCTCGGCGGCCTGCTCTTGGTGGGAGTTACGGGGGACGCCCAAGAATTTGACTCTACCGCCCTCTACAACACATAGTCCGGGGCTTTGTTCAGAGCCCCAGCACTAGGATGGTTTTGTGTCTCTTGTCTGTGGGTGGGTGGAAGGAGGGGTGATTTCACAAGAAATGATTCGTCTGCAAAGAGGCTCCGAGGCGTCACCTGTGCTGTCCCAGGTGCCAACGGGTGGGCCTGTGTAGCAGGTTTTTCAGTTGGGACACCACTTTAAGGGAGGTGAGGACAGCTAAATCACATGCTAAGTCATGAACAGATGAGACACACTGGCAGAAAAGGGGTCATTAAACCTTTGCAATGGCAGCTGGTCTGTTGTGTCTTTGTCCCACATCCCGTGCTGTGGCAGCAAAGCTTCTCATGTGCGTAGGCAGAAAGTCTTGGATTCAAATCCTGCCTTGGACACCTACCAGCCGTCTGATCCTGAGCAAGTCACCTGAATTCTCTGTGTCTGCTGACACTCTCGGCCCGTCCACATTAAGGAGGCAGTGTCCACACCGACAGCTTTCCCGTGGATGCGATCACACGTACGGTACAGTGGCCTCTTGTGATGCAGTCACATATCTATCCTCTCCACTTACCCTCTAGATTCTCTTGTTAATCTTCTCTTGGATCCTCAATTGCCAAGAAGTCAAGAGAAAGGGAGGAAGGCCCCAGCCCACTGGAAGGACTCCTTTGAAGAGAGCCTAGTGGGCAGCAGCTGGTTGGAGTGTTTGGGGCATGGAGGCTGGGCCCTGCTCCAGTCATTTTGGAAGTAAAATGCAAGTGGAAGCTCATGGGAGACAGGAACAGGAATCGCCAGGGAAAGATAGCTGAGAATGGACGATGGCTGACCTCACTGGCAGGCCTGCAGGCCGTGCTTTCCATCTGTTGCTACTTTCTGTCCAGGTGGTCTGTAGTATACTCCTGTGACAACACTGATTTGTTTCTCCCTGTACTGACCACCATCATTCCTGGGCTTCCTCACGTTAATTGAATATCTCTTTGCTATATAATATACAATGCTCTCCCACCTACGGTTTTCCAGTTGAATAAGGTGAACGCTTACAGAGTCACCTTCCAGTCGTGGATCTCTTCCCTCCGCGTCTTGCAGATGAGGTCAGGTTCAGCATTCTTTGTTCACCTGGCTTGTTAGCCGTGTTTGGTAATCTCTGTGTGCAGGCATGGAGGCCGTGGACTTTTTCTGGCTTCTTTGTTGGGTTTCCCGTCCATCTCTTCATCTGCTCCTCTTTTCACACTCATCGTTTGTTCCTGTGCACCCTAGCTTGGTGAACACTTGTGACCAGTCTTCTCTCTGTCCCCCATTCTTTACAGTTTAAAACCTCTGGTCAGATTTGCAAGACTTGAGGCAAATCCATTCTTCGTTGTCCCCATTAGATGCACTCCATCTCTGTCCGGGGGCCCACCATTCCTCTACGTTAAGCCACGATTCAGAAATCCAAACCCCATTCTCAGACACTGTGCTTAACAAGCTGCCTACTTCCCAGCTTGCTTTTTTCCCCCTTTCTGCTAAAGCCTTTGATTTCTTTTTTTGTTGTATTATTGTATATGTTTTGCTTTTTATTTTGTTTTGTTTTCCCAGAGAGCCAGTTGTTAAACATTCACCAATACACCCCAATTCCAAGTGCTACATTGGTAATGATCGAATACCAGATGAATGAAGGTAGGAACCCACAGCATTTTGGCTAAAGTTTTATATAGATGGAAGCCTTTGATTTTTTTTTTCTTTTTGGTGAGGCATTCGGGGTTAAGTGACTTGCCCAGGATCACACAGCTGGTAAGTGTCAAGTGCCGGAGGCCATATTTGAACTCAGGTCCTCCTGACTCTAGGTCCATATAGTCAAAGCTCTGGTTTTCCCAGTAGCGATGTATGGCTGTCAGAGGTGGATTATAAGGAAAGCTGAGCACTGCAGAAGCAATGCCTTTGAACTGTGATGCCGGAGACAGATTTTTGAGAGTCCCTTGGGCAGCAAGGAGATCAAATCAGTCAATACTTAAAGAAATGAATTTAGACTATTCACTGGAAGGACAAATACAGAAGCTGAAGCTGAAATACTTTGGCTATATAATGAGAAGATGAGACTCATTGGAAAAGTGATGTTGGGAAAGATTGAAGGCAAAAGGAAAAGGGACAGCAGAGGATCAAGATGGATGGATGGAACCAATGAACATGAGCGTGGACAGACTTTGGGAGATAGCAGAGGACAGCAGAGGACAGAAGGGCCTGGAGTGCTGTGGTCCATGGGGTCATGAAGAGTTGGACAGACTGAATGCCTGAACAGCGAGGTCACCAGGGATGTGTTAAAACGAGTGTCTCTGCTATTGTTGTTGGTGTGGCTGCCATTATTTTTAACTTGGCTCCTTGTCACCTCTTGGGTCAAATACAAAATTCTCTGTTTGAGTTCAAAGCCCTTCACATAACCTTGCCCCGCCTACTCTTCTGGTCTCCTCACACCTTACTCCCTACTAAGTACTCCTTGGTCCAGTGACGCTGGCCTCCTGGCTATTTCTCAAATTCGATCCTCCATTGCTCTGCTCCAGAGAATTTCTCTGATCATCCCTGGCAGGGAATACTCCCTTCTCCTCAACTCGGCCTGCTGGCTTTCCCGGCTTCCTTCAAGCTCCAGCTAAAATGCTGCTTTGTACAAGAATCCTTTCCCTCTTAATTCTAGTGCCTTCCCTCTATCAAATATTTATCAGTAATAATAATATAAATGGTATCAAACAATTATTGTAAGGACCATGAATGTTGTTATAAATCCCATTCATTCCCATCTATAGCTTCTTTGTACATATTTGTTTGCATCTTGTCTCTCCCATTATATTATGAGCTTCTTGAGGGCAGGGACTGTCTTTTGTCTTTGTGTCCCCACTCCTTAGCACTGTGCTCTGCACACAGTAGGTGCTTAATAAATGCTTCTGGCCTAATCAACTGATTAATGTAGGAATTGGTTTTGCTTCACTATTCGTATTTGTAACAAGTTTTGCTTTTCTTGCTTTCTCAATGGGGAGGGAAAGGCAAGAGAATTTGGAGCTAAAAATGAGATTAAAAATTGAATTTTAATTAAAAATTTGAAAAGAAAATTAAGTTTAAATTTGAAAAAGAAAATTAAATTTAAATGTAAATTAATTTAATGAATACTAAATCAATTATTATTAGTTATTTATAAGATATTTAATAAATAACAATTAACTTAAAAATAACTTTAAAAAAATTTTAAAATTAAAAAAGAAAAAGAATAAAGTGTCCTGTTACCCCTTTATGAAGTATGAGAAACAAATTTCCCTGACTGAATTGAAAGGGGGGCTTGGTGTTGGCTTCTGGAAGACTCCCCTGATGACCTTTCAAAGAAAGTGTCTTAGACCTGAGAGCCATCGGCCAAAGTTCACATCAGGCTATCACTGTATGGAGCGTGACCCCTGAGTCTTCCCCAGAAGAAGGGAGGGAATGTTCTCTCATTGCCCTCACATTGACCATGGGACCCTCCACCTGCCATATTTGACCTCTAACAGTTCCCACCAACTCCCCCTGGGCTCGCCCAACCAGTCTATGGAAAATAAGCGTTCCCAACGGGTCTCCTGGGGAAGGAAGGCTTGATGGAGAAGTCCGAAGTCCACAAGCAGGATAGCTGATAATTTTGCAGAAGAGGAAAATGAAGACAGAAATATGTGAAGTGAGGTCATGTAGTAACGTAGACGGTAATGCAAAGTCACACAGTAAGTGTCTGAGGAGAGATCAGGAAACTTGGTGTTTCTGATTCCAAGCCCAGTCGGTCCCACTGCCTCTCACATCCAAGTCAGTGGTTATTATCATTATTAGTGAGGGTGGTGACGGGCATTGGTGTCAGTCAGCAGCAGCCCAGGCTCCAGGGGCAGCTCAGGAGCCTTTCAGTCACTCCCTCCATGAAATTGAATGCAGTGAGAGCCCAGGTTATTCCACACCTGTGATCTCCAGATTAGCAGCCCTCGGCGAATGGATCCAGACAAAAGTCAGTCGGGCTGGCGACGGCCCGGGATGTGGTGGATCACCTTTAATGCCTGACCAAGCTCTAAGCGCTCCACAGAGTCTGCTTTGGCCACCCTTGTGGCCATTGGAACAAATTACTCTCATCCACTCATTCTACTGGGTGAAGGGTTTGGGGCCCCTGTTACCTTCAACCCGGTTTAGCCTGTCTGCCAAGAAGGTTTTACTGGGGTGTGGCTGCTGTGCACACTACAACTTCTTGGAGCCCCAGGTGAGAGGTGAGTGCCAGGTGACGCCCTCCCACCAGAGGTACTGGTCCTCCCTGAACACACCAAGCAGGTGCTTAAATCGATGTCTGTTGTCTCACTGGGGGTACAAATAAAAAGCAAACCCAGTTTCTACCTTCAAGGAGCTTGCACCCCAATGGGGGAGAGGATGTATGAGCATACAAGAGGATGTATCGGTGCATACAAGAAAAATGCAGAGGAGGTGGAAGGTGATGAAGATAATTTTAGAGCATGATGGCTTTGGTCAAGCTGGCCTCTTGTCACAGAGAAGGATCCAAATGTCATCTGGTCCCTGTGGAAAGGAACCTTTCACATAAATAATTTTATCCTGTTTCAGAAATTTACCTTCAACACAATTAGCCTGGGCAACAAAATTTATCATTCTGCACTAGCAGGCACCAGGAGGAAGGCTAGCTGAAATCTCATAATTAAAAAAAAAAATACTTCTCTCTAATTCCTAATGATTAAGTTCAAAAAACAGCTGAATCCACATTCAAGTGGTCATTTCACTCCTCACACCCTATTTTCCTCACAAAACAGCCCATGGGAATTTCCTGAAGGCTTTTTTCCTTTTCATTAAAAAATGTCAGTCACACGGGGACTTCATGGACAGAGGAATTATGGGAGGGGTTTGGGAGACAGACCATAAGCCTGGCTGGCCCAGAGAAAATGATTTGGGGGCAGCTAGGTGGCACAGTGAAGAGAGCACCAGCCCTGGATTCAGGAGGACCTGAGTTCAAATCTGGCCTCAGACATATAACACTTACTAGCTGTGTGACCCTGGGCAAGTCACTTAACCCCATTGCCTAACCAAAAAAAAAAAAAAGAAAAAGAAAAAGAAAATAATTTGAGTGATTACAGTCATGTTTTGGAGTTCCCTCTCATTCTATCTTTGTCTCTGTCAAAAGCAGAACAGCTACTCTTTTTCCTCTCCTTTTAATGATCATTTCAATCCTTCTCCCAAATACGAGGGCACTTCCAAGGGGAACTGCCCTTGTGGACTTTATTCTGACCAACAGAGAGGAACAGTGCTCCGAACAGTCCCTGTCCTGTAGTAGGTACTTAAATACTTATTGACTCACTGGCAGCAGAAGTCAAAGCAATAGGCATCTTGTGGAATGACTAGGGTATCTTAGAACTTGGGGCAGTCCAACAGAGTCCCACTGGCACCCTTGATTTGGAAAAAGGAGATTTCAAAGGGTACAGAAAAAGAATGGGAAGGATCCCATGGGCTAAAATTCTACAGGGACAGGGAAGTCAGCCCAAGAAGTGTGGGATGGTCTCATGAGATTTGGGGATCATTGCAGGACAGATCGAATTGCTAGGAAAAATTTCCTCCCCCATGCAGCCTGCCTGATTTTTGACATTCTCAACCCACAGGTCCCGGAGCTGCCCTGCCGGCCAAGCAGAATCCCTTGCCCACATGACAGCCTTTTGAACAACAAATGGTATCCCTGAGGCTTTATGCTCATCTGTGCTCTTGCCTCCTTCCCTTTTCCAGGTCATAAGCAATTTGAGGGCAGGGCATGTCTCATTTCATCTTGAATCCCCAGCACCCAAAACAAGGCACTGTACACTATAGGATACTAGCCATATTTATACTGTGTATAAATCACAATATCCCTGGGAGGAAGGTGCTATTATTATCCCCATTTCACAGATGAGGAAACAGAGGTTAAGTGACTTGCCCAGGGTCATACAGCTAGTTTTAAACTCAGGTCTTCCTGATTCTGGGCTTGGCACTCTATCCACTGTGGTGCCTATAGATGTTAAAGGGATCTCAGCATGTGGCCATCACCCTCTTCCACACCCCCTGTACTTTGGCCAAACTGACCTACCTTCTGACCCTGAGTCATGCTCTGGGTCTTACTGCTTCTGTACTTCTTCATAGGCTATTCCTGAAACCTCTTCCCCACTTCTTTGCCTGTGGCTTTCCTCATCATCTTTTAAAGCTGCTCAGGAGGTCTCCCCCCTCGATTAGTGATAACCTTCCCTCTCAGACTTCCCAAAGCACTTTGTCTATACCTCTCTCTAATTTACCTAAACTTGCAGACCATAGAAACTTTCTTTCATTTGACTATAGATAGCTTTAACTTCTTCTTCTGAAAAGTGCCTGTTCATATCTTTTGACCATTTATCAATTGGGGAATGACTTGTATTCTTATAAATTTGACTCAGTTCTCTAGATATTTGAGAAATGAGGCCATTGCCAGAGACCCTGGATATAAAAATTATTTTTCAGCTTTCTGCTTTCCTTCTAATCTTGGTTGCATTAGTTTTGTTTTTGAAAAAAATTTTGAATTTAATGTAATCAAAATTATCCATTTTCCATTTTATAATGTTCTCTATCTCTTCTTTGGTCATAAATTTTTCCCTTCTCCATAGATCTGACAGGTAGACTATTATTTATCTCTTAATTTGCTTATGGTTATCACCCTTTATATCTAAATCATTGTACCCATTTTGACCTTCTCTTGGTATAGGGTGTCCATGCCTAGTTTCAATATAAATTTATTAATTTTTAGTTTTCAACATTCACTTCCACAAGTTTTTGAGTTCCAAATTTTCACCCTATCTCCCCCCTCTCCCCACCCCAAGATGGCATGCATTCTAAATATCCCTTCCTCTAGTCTGTCCTCTCTTCTATCTCTCTCCCCTTCTCTTATCCCCTTCCCCTTCTATTTTCCTGTAGGGCAGGATAGACTTCTGTACCCCATTTCTTATATTTCTTATTTCCCAGTAGCATGTGAAAACATTTTTTAAAACTATATGTTTTTAAAACTTTAGGTTTCAAATTTTCTGTCTTCTTCCCTCCCCACCCACCCTCATTGAAAAGGCAAGCAACTCAATATAGGTTGTACATGTGCAGTTATGCAAAACATGTCCATAGTAGACATGTTGTGAAAAACTAACTCTATTTCCCTTAATCCTATCCTGCCCTCCCATTTATTCTATTCTTTCTTTTGACCCTGTCCTTCCTTAGAAGTATTTACTTCTGATTCCCCTTTCCCAATCTGCCCTCCTCTCTATCATCCCCCTGCTCTCTTGTCCCCTTCTCCCCCTATTTTCCTGTAGGGTAAGACAGATTTCCATACCCAATTGAATGTGTATGTTATTCCCTCCTTAAGCCAAATCCTATGAGAATAAGATTCACTCATTCCCTCTCACCTTCCCCATTTCCCCTCCACTGTAAGAGATTTTCTTCTGGTTTTTTTTTTTTCGTGAGATAATTTACCCCATTCTACCTCTCCCTTTCTCCTTCTCCCAGTATAATCCTCTCTCATCCCTTAATTTTATTCTCCAGATATGACCCCTTAATCTTCAACTCACCCTGTGCCCTCTATCTATCTATCTATCTATCTATACATACATACATATTTTTTTCCTCCAACTACCCTAATACTGACAAAGGTCTCATGAGTTATAAATATCATCTTTCCATGCAGGAATGTAAACAGTTCAATCTTAATAAGTCTCTTATGATTTCTCTTTCCTGTTTACCTCTTCATGTTCCACTTGAGTCCTGTATTTGAAAGTCAAATTTTCTATTCAGCTCTGGTCTTTTCATCAAGAATGCTTGAAAGTCCTCTATTTCACTGAATGACCATTTTTTCCCCTGAAGGATTATACTCAGTTTTGCTGGGTAGGTGATTCTTGGTTGTAATCCTATCTCCTTTGCCCTCCAGAATATTATATTCCATGCCCTGCGGTCCTTTAATGTAGAAGCTGCTAAATCTTGTGTTATCCTGATTGTGTTTCCACAGTACTTGAACTGTTTCCTTCTGGCAGCTTGTAATATTTTCTCCTTGACCTGGGAACTCTGGAATTTGGCTACAATATTCCTAGGAGTTTTCCTTTGGGGATCTCTTTCAGGAGGAGATCTGTGGATTCTTTCAATTTCTATTTTGCCCTCTGGTTCTACTATATCAGGGCAGTTTTCCTTGATAATTTCTTGAAAGATGATGTCTAGGCTCTTTTTTTGATCATGGCTTTCAGATAGTCCAATAATTTTTAAATTCTCTCTCCTGGATCTATTTTCCAGGTCAGTTGTTTTTCCAATGAGATATTTCACATTGTTTTCTAATTTTTCATTCTTTTGGATTTTTCTACTGTGTCTGATTTCTCATAAAGTCACTATCTTCCAATTGCTCTATTCTAATTTTTAAGGAAGTATTTTCTTCAGTAAGCTTTTGGACTTCCTTTTCCATCTGGCCAATTTTGCTTTTTAGGGCATTTTTCTCCTCATTGGCTTTTTGGACCTCTTTTGCCATTTGGGTTAGGCTTTTTTAAGGTGTTATTTTCTTCAGTATTTTTTTGGGTCTCCTTTAGCATCACTCTCAGTTTTTCCTCTACTTCTTACTTGCTTCTCAAAATCGTTTTTGAGCTCTTCCATGGCCTGGGACCAATTCATATTTTTCTTGGAGGCTTTGGATGTAGGGCTTTGACTTTGTTGTCTTCTTCTGGTTGTATATCTTCTTTTTCACCAAAGTAAGATAATATAGTCTGACTCTTTTTGCGCTGCTTGCTCATGATCCCGGCCAATTACTTGAGTTTCAAACTCTTTGTTAAGGTGCGAATCTGCTTCCAATGTGGAGAATGTACTGTCCCAAGCTTTGGGGGGTTTTGTACAGCTGTTTTCAGAGATACTTGTAGGGACCTGTAAATTTTCAGTTCTTCCAAGGTGGTATGATAAGGGGCGAGGTGTTTACTGCTTTCCTGGCCTGTGACTACAAGCACTCCTTTCTGTCCTGTAACTGTGAGGAGGGGCTTCTCTCCACAGCCACTACAAGTTCCACCATGCCAGCACTCCTCCTCACCCCAGCACCACTGCCCAGAACTGTGACCTAGATCCACACATGGGCAAAGCAAGAGATTCCTGCTTCAGCACTGGCAAAGAGATCCCTGCAATCCCCCTCTGATCAGCCACTGGATTCCCCCTCAGTCTGTGGGCTGGAAGCTTGGGAAGCAGCTGCCCCCCCCTCCCAGAGCCATGCTCTTGGACAATGGAGCTGAGACCCCGCCTTCCTTTCTCAGCACCGACAGAAACAGACTTTTCCCACTGATCTTCTAAGTTGTCTTTGGCGTTGGTGGATTGAGGAGTCTGGAAACCTCCACAGCTGTCCGAGATTCGGTCCTCTGAGGCCCGCTCCAGGTTCGCTGCGGCCTAAGCGCCAACCCGGCGTGATATGCCTTTCTGATCAATCATCCAGGTTGTGTTGGGCTGGAAATTTGTTTCACTCTGTCTTTTTGTGGGTTCTGCTGCTTCAGAATTTGTTTAGAGCCATTTTTTATGAGTATTTGGAGGGGTTTGGAGGAGAGCTCAAGCTTTCTCTGCTTTCACTCTGCCATCTTGGCTCTGCCCCCTCTATGCCTAGTTTCTGCTGTACTATTTTCCAGTTTTCCCAGCAGGTTTTTGCCAAATAATGAGCTAATTGACATTAATTGATTAAATGAAACCGGTTGGTGAATAGAGAGGAGAACATCGTGGGATGGGGGCTGGAACCAGCTAGCATTAGCAGAAGACTTCAGTTCCTCAGTCGTGCCCCTAGAACCTAGACATAGCCACACTTTGGGGCCCTTGGTGTGTTTGGGAATCAGGATAAAGGTCAGCAGAGCTTACAGTGGCTCCATTTATGGTGGGGTCTCATGCCTCTACTAGACAGTGAGCCCCGTGGAGGCAGGGACTGCTTTGTCTTGGCTCTGTATTTTCCTCTGAACAATGTTCTGCACCCAGTGAGTGCTTGTTGTCTTATCCTGAGGCTCCTGACTGTCTTTAAACTGGGCTGTCCTCACAGGAATTAATGGATTTTTGAACTAAGGGTCACTTCCTCATCTATGAAATGAGGGGATTGGACCCAAGGTCTGTGGAGGTCCCATCCGGCTCAGAACTCTGGTACATCCAGGTATGTGTGTGCCTAGGTATTGGCAGTATTACCAGCTAGATGGCAAACACCCTGAGGGCAGAGCCAACAAATGTATGAGTATCCTTCAGCAGTGCCCACCCCCCACCCCAGCACTCCCGCATTTCCTAAAGTGGGCTGACTTGGGCCTGATAGGCAGATTAGAGAACAGCACCGTTAGCTAGCAGAGCAGCCTAGGCTTTTGTCTAGGAAGGCTTCGATCTATTTTTATCTCAGCGACAAGCACCTCTGGTCTCTCATCTTCCAGGCTCCTACTTCCCCCGGAGAGAAGGGAAGTCCAAGCAAGTCCCCCACCCCCCACTCCCGGTTCTTGGTTACTGCTGGTGTGAGTCCTCTCACCTCACTTCCTTCTCCCATCCTCTAGGCACCCTTAAGCCTGGAGATCCCAAGTCTCCTTGCCTACATGTGGCTGCTCTCAGTGAAATTCATTCTACACCCTGGAGCACTGAAAAGAAGGTTGGAGTTAGGGTCAATGACAAGTTCCGGTCTTGGTTCAGCCACTCTGTTATCTATGGAGCCTTGGGCAAGGCACTCCCCTCGTTGAGACTCAGTTTCTTCCTCTGCAAAACGGGTTGTGTGGGACAGCGACCCCAACCCAAATTAAACTCAGAGACTTCTCAAGGTGGAAAGCAAAGGTTACCTTTATTACAGTCTCACGAGATGGCTGTCTGCTCCTCCCATACACGTGGAGAGAGAGAGAGAGACCGCCTAACAGGGGCCGCCTTATAAAAGCAAATCTCTGCCCACCATGAAAACAAGTCTCCACCCACCACTATCCCTTACCCCCTTACCTGGGGGTGGGCTTACATTCTAACTGGGAGGTGGGGCTTACATGCTAAGCTTGAAAGTTTCTTCCTATCCCCTTAGCCGGGAGGTGAGGCTTACATTCCAGGTGCGAAATTCAAAGCCAAGGACAAGCAGCTCAGGTTGGGGGTGGGGCAGGGCTTATTCTTTGTTAAGTGCTTAAAGACAGGGTCTGAGTTGGGGAGGACTTTGAAAGTTGTAATCAAGAATTATTTGACCCTTTGAGGAGCCTCCACTTCTGAGAGTTCATTTCTCACACTACCTTCTGAACTCATTACCTTAATTACACTGAGAAGTCTTCACTGGGACATCCCATTCAGGGTCGTTTGGTCCTTTTCTATTCTAACATTCTGTGATTCCCCGACTGAACAACAACAGAAATAGAGAGAGCCAGGATTTCTACAGGCTTTAAGGTCTGCCAACCTCTTATTTGAGCCTCAGCAACTCTGTGAGGCTTATAGACTTTATAGCTGGGGAATCTAAGACTCGGGGAGGTAAGTGACTTGCCTAGGGTCATACGGCGTGTGTCTGAGGAAGGATCTGAACCCATCTCCGGGGCCAGTTCACTCTTTGCTGCTGGGAAAGACTCTGACCCTCTCAAGAGTATTCTCAAAAGGAGCATGTCTTCAGTACAAAGTACATCAAGGTGGTAGCAATGAAGTGAGGGTTTAAGCAGAACAGGCAAGCCATTACTTGTGGGTCTCCAATCTCAGATGACATGCTTGGGCCAGGCCTGCCTGCCTTAGCAGGAGCTGGAAGACACAGAGCCTTCCATTGACTCATGCAAGACCCACAATGGGTAATCCCTAAACTTACATATCCAGTCCTTATTTTTAGGGGATTAAGCAAATTGATGGGTGCGTAGGTAAAGAGGGGGAGTGTTTTGTAAAACAGATGGGAGTTTCCTGCAAGGCTGGAGTGGAAGCGGGTGTGTCTGTGGCTAGGAGGTTGTTGACACAAAGCAAGGAAATCTGAGTTGCTTTGTCAAGATATGAAGACAGCGTAACCAACTGTAAAAGTCCTAACCTGGTGCTTAGGGGTGAGGTGCAGACGCCCACAAGTAGTTCAAAGAAGCAAGGCTGAAAATCTCAACCATTATGAAGAGCGATGGAAATTGGGCAGCACCTGAGCTCAAGGGAACAATGCTGGTATTTCTGCCACAGCCACTAAGTGACTGTTGTCCGAGGTCTTGGAGCATGGAAGCTGATCTCCTGGAGGGAAGCGTGAAGGAGTCTGAAGAGTGCCTGGCACTAGAAAGCACTTAACAAATGCTCCTTGACTGGCTGGCTAACACACTGGACGATGGAGTCTACCCTCTGACAACCAAAAAGAAACTTGACCCTTTTCCAGCAGGGCTGGTCAGTGGGGCAGAGTGCGTGACTGCCAACACCTGGTCCTTACTCCTGGCTGGGACAAGGTTAGCTGCTTGCAATGCCATCTGGTGATGAAACATGGGTCTGACAACACCTTGCCTTCCCTGGAGGATTAAGTGGCTCCCTATTACCTCTCTAATCCCTTAATTTTATCCTCTAGATATGACCGACCCCTTAATCTTCAACTCACCCTATGCCCTCTATCTATCTATCTATCTATCTATCTATCTATCTATCTATCTATCTATCTATACATACATACATATATTTTTTTTCCTTCAACTACCCTAATACTGACAAAGGTCTCATGAGTTATAAATATCATCTTTCCATGCAGCAATGCAAACAGTTCAACCTTAATAAGTCTCTTATGATTTCTCTTTCCTATTCACCTCTTCATGTTCCACTTGAGTCTTGTATTTGAAAGTCAAATTTTCTATTCAGCTCTGGTCTTTTCATCAGGAATGCTTGAAAGTCCTCTATTTCACTGAATGACCATTTTTTCCCCTGAAGGATTATACTCAGTTTTGCTGGGTAGGTGATTCTTGGTTGTAATCCTATCTCCTTTGCCCTCCAGAATATTATATTCCATGCCCTGTGGTCCTTTAATGTAGAAGCTGCTAAATCTTGTGTTATCCTGATTGTGTTTCCACAGTACTTGAATTGTTTCTTTCTGGAAGCTTGTAATATTGTCTCCTTGACCTGGGAACTCTGGAATTTGGCTATAATGTTCCTAGGAGTTTTCCTTTGGGATCTCTTTCCCTGCGTTCTCTCTTAAAGCTTCCTTGGGCAGCCAGGTTTCTGAACTTGTGTGGTGGCCCCCACCTGGCAGTGCCAGTTGGCATACATGAGTCAGCTATTTGCTTTTTCCTTCGCTCTTACTTCAAAAGGGTTGGGTTGGGTGCCTGTGCTTGGGAGGTGGAGCTGTGGGCAGGATCTGGAGGGCAGGCGCGGGCTTGCCAACATGCAGGAGTCAGTCTGCTCCAGGGGAAGATCAAGCAGCAGCGCTTGGCAGGCTTGGACCGAGGCGGCATGTCTGCGAAAGGAAGAAAGGGCTCCGGTCAGGAGCTGAAGCCTGAGCCTGAACCACAGTAGGTATACTCCTGAGAGAGGGATGGGCTCCTGTGGATGGGGGGGGGCAAGGGATGGACTTAGAGAGGAGGCTTGCCCGACCTCAAGGAGGAGGGAATCTTGGACCTGCTCTGCTGAGGAAGCCAGAGGCTGCAACAGGGCTCTGATTCAGGTGCAGGAGAAAGATAGCCCTGAATGCTGAAGACCTGGGTTCAGATTTTGGCTCTGCAAAACTTACTACCTGTATCAAGTGCCTTCTTTCCAGACGGCACCCACCTCCATCTTCCCTTTGGGGCTGCCCAGCAGACTTGGAAGTCTGGCTGGGATTATCCATCTTGCTTGACAGAGAGGGAAACTGAGGACCAAAGAGGGTCAGTGCCAGCAAATTAACAGTAGAATTGAGACTAGAAGTTGAGTCTTGTGACCTCCAGGTCAAGGCTCTGTGAGCTCTTGGAGAGCAGACCGTCTCATTGTTTTGTCCTTGAATCTTTGGCCTGCAGCACATTTCCTGGTATATAGTAGGTGCTTAATAGATACTTGTTGGTTTCATGGCTAATTTGTCCAACCCTGAGCTGGCAAGGGTAGGAAGAGTGGACACAGCTTTTCACTGGGGCTCAAGTCTTTAGGGCCTCCCCAGTGGTCTCTCTGGACCATTTCCAGCTCTGAGCCTGTGATTCTAGAATTATTCTTCCCCAGCCCCCAGAGTGTCCACTTCTACCTGTTCAGAGCAGGGGCTTGGTGAAGTCTCGGGATTCCCAGGGCAACAAGCACCCCAAGAGCTGAATGACCCAAGCCCAGAGCCTGAAAAGCGTCTACTCCAACGTCTTCCTTTTACAACTGAGAAGACTGAGTCGGGGCAGGATGTGGGTTTGGGCTGCAGGGACCAACTCTGGGCACTCATGAGGAAAGCCCAAATGAAGATTCCTGCCCCCATCCCACCCCAATATCTCCAGGGTCCTGCCATTCTTTGCTCCCCAATGCAGGCAGCTCCTCATCCAACTAATCCAATACAACGTGCATTTATTAAGTACCTACTATATGCCAGGCTCTGGGTGGGGTACTGGAGATACAAGGCAAGAAAGTGAGTATAGTCACTGCCCTCAGAGAGCTTACATTCTGGTCAAGGATATAACCATAACCTGATAAGCAAATACATGATAAAGGCACAAGCCACCAGCACCCCATTGCTGACCAGTAGTGAAGCCCCCTCTGGGAGAGCCCAATAGCAAGACCCTGCCCCTGAGATCTACCAGAAGAGACACCCTGCTTACCTAGCAACCCAGCAGCAGGACCCCATCCCTGGGGCAGGCCACTAGCCACCGCTTCTTCCTTATTGATTGTGTGGTTCGATTTATTTAGCTCTGAGAGACAAAAGCTGAGGTCTTTTCCTAGTATGGTCTTACATCTATTTCCTCCTAGAATCCATTGAACTTATCCTTTAAGAATTTGGATGTTATGCCATTTAGTGCGTATGTGTTTGGCATTGATAGAACTTCATCATCTAGGGTGCCTTTTACCAAGATGTAGTTTCCCCGATTATCTCTTTTAATTAGGGTTATTTTTGCTTTTGATTTGTTTGAGGTCATGATGGCTTACCCCTGCCTTTTTTTACTTCAGCTGAAGTATAATCAATTCTGCTCCAGCCCCTTATTTTAACTCTGTGTTTCTCTCTATTTCAAGCATGTTTCTTTCATTTTTAATTTTTTTTTTATTTTTAGGCAACTGGGGTTAAGTGACTTGCCCAGGGTCACACAGCTAGTAAGTGTCAAGTGTTTGGGCTGAGGCTGGATTTGAACTCAGGTCCTCCTGACTTCAGGGCTGGTGCTCTATCCGCTGTGCCACCTAGCTGCCCCCCAAGCATGTTTCTTTTAAACAACATATTTCAGGATTCACATTTTTAATCCAACTGCTATCCACTTCCTTTTTTATGGGTGAGTTTATCCCATTCACATTCACAATTGTGATTACTGTCTACATTTATTAATTACTCATTACATTTCCCTCCTTCCTGTTTTCTTCTGTTTGTCCTTCTCTCTCACTTTCTATCCTGTCCTTCCTCTAAAGTTTGTTTTGCTTTTGACCACTGTCTTTTTTTATCTGCCCTCCCTTTTATTACTTCCCCTCTCTGCCCTTTTCTCTTATCCTCTTTCTCTCTTACTTTCCTGTTGAGTAAGATAGGTTTCTATTACCAATTGAGTGTGTATGTGTGTGTGTGCGTGTGTGTGTGTGTATGTGTGTGTTTGTGTGTATTCTCTCTTTGAACCAATTTAGATATGAATGAGATTCAAGCATTGCCCCCCACCATTTTCTCCTTTACTGTAAAAGGTCTTCCTTGTGTGCTTCTTTTATATGAGATAATTTTCCCCATTCTTCCTCTCTCTTTCTCCTTCTCCCAGGGCATCCCCCTTTCTTGCCTATCCATTTTTTTTTTACATTATCCTACTATATTGACTCACTTCTGCACCCTTTTTTCTTTTTTAATAATATTTTTTCCAATTACATGTAGAAATAATTTTAACATTCATTTTCTTTTAATTTTGAGTTTCAAATTCTCTGCCTCTCTCCCTCCTCTTCCCTTTCCTTGAGACAGCAAACAATTTGGTATAGGTTATACACATGCAATAATGCAAAACATTTTCCCACATGGTCATGTTGTGAAAGAAAACACAGACCTAAAAAAAAAAAACCCAAACCATGAAGGAAATAAAGTGAAGAATTGTATGCTTTAATCTGCATTCAGACTCTATCAGCTCATACCCTCTTTCTATGTAGAATCCTTCTAACTGCCCTAATAATGATAAAGTTTTTAGAAGATACATGCATTACCTTTCCATACAAAAAGGTAAACAATTTAACGTTATTGAATCCCTTCTGATTTTCTTTCATATTTATCTTTTTATGATTCTCTCCAGTCTCGTATTTGCAAGTCAAATTTTCTAACCACCTATGGTCTTTTCATCAGAAATCCTTGAAAGTCCTCAATTTCATTAAATATCCATTTTTCCCTTGGAGGATTATATTCGGTTTTGTTGGATAGGTGATTCTTGGTCGTAATCCCAGCTCTTTTGTTTTCTGAAATATCATATCCCACGCTGTTTGCCTGTTTAATGTGGTAGCTGCCAAATCTTGTGCAATCCTGACTATGGCTCTAAGTTATTTGGATGGTTTCTTTCTGGCTACTTGAAGTATTTTTGCTTTGACCAGAGTGCTGTGGAATTTGGCTATAATATTCCTGGGAGTTTTCATTTTAGGATCTCTCTCAAGTTGTAATCAGTGGATTCTTTCAATTTCTATCTTACTCTCTGGCTCTAAGATACCATGGAAGTTTTCCTTGATAATTTCTTGAAGTATGATGTCCAAGCTCTTTTAGTAATCATGGTTTTCAGGTGGTCCAATAATTCTTAAATTATCTCTCATTGATCTATTTTCCAGGTCAGTTTTTCTGATGAGATACTTCACATTTTCTTTTATTTTTTCATTCTTTTGACTTTATTTTATTGTTTCTTGGTGTCTCATGGAATTATTAGCCTCCACTTGCCCTATTATAATTTTTAAGGAATTATTTCAATGAAGGAGCAGCTAGGTGGTACAGTGGATAGAATGCCAGGCCTGGAGTCAGGAAGACTCATCTTCCTGAGTTCAAATCTACCCTCAGACACTTACTAGCTGTGTGACCCTGGGCAAGTCATTTAACCCAGTTTGTTTCAGTTCACCTGTACAGTGAGCTGGAGAAGGAAATGGCAAACCACTTCAGTATCTTTGCCAAGAAAACCATTGGGCATCACTGAAACAACTCAACACACTTAAAATTTCATCAGCAAATTTTTGTACCTCTTTTTCCATTTGGCCAATTCTGTTTTTTAAGGTGTTATTTTCTTCCATTTTTTTGTATGTGGCACTTTTACCAAGCTATTAATTGTCTTTTCATAATTTTCTTCCTTTGCTTTCATTTCTTTAATTTTCTTATCTGATTTTGAAAAAAAAATTTTTTTTGGCTCTTCCGGGAATTATTGTTGAGCTGGTGTCCAACTCACACTTTTTTTTCCTTTGAGGCTCTGCTCACAGCTGTTCAGACTTCATTATCTTCTTCTGAGTTTGTCTTGATCTTCCCTGTCACCACAGTATATTTTTATGGTCAGGTTCTTTTTTTGTTGTTTGCTCATTTTCTACCCCGTTTCTTGGCTTGAAGCTTTATGTTAATGTTGGACTCTGTTCCTAATGTGGGAGAGGGGAGGGACACTGTTTCGTTTCAGGTTTTTTTGTACTGTGGTTTTCAGAGCTAGTTCTGGGAGTTTGGAAGTTTTTGGTGTTTCCAAGGTGGTGTTATCTGGGAAGAGTTGTGGTCACTGCTCTCTTGGTCTGTAATTGACCATTTGTCAACAAATGACTCATTCTTATAAATTTTGTTCAGTTTCTCTTACATCTTAGATCTCAGACCTTTATCAGAGAAACTTACTGCAAAACTTTCCCCCCCAGCTGCATTGGTTTTGTTTGTGCACAAATTTAAAATTTTATTTTATTTTCTGTGATCCTCTCTCCATCCTTTGTTTGGTCATTAATTTTCCTCCTATCCATAATTCTGAAAAGATTTTTCCCCTTTCTCTTCCTATTTGTTTATGATGTGATTTTTTATATCTAAATTGTGTACCCGCTTGTAACTTATCTTGGTATGTGGTGTGAGGTGTTGGTCTAAACCCAATTTCTTTCCAGTTTTCCCAGTAGCTTTTGCCAAGAAGTGAGACCTTGCACCTGAAACTGGACTCTTTGGTTCATCAAAGAATGGGCCACTAGGTTCATTTGCTTCTGAATACTACATATCTAATCTATTAATATCACCTGTTGTTGCTAACACTGGAGAGACACTAAGGACTCCAGGACATCACGTCCCTTCTGTGCTGAGGGATACCCTGGCATCACTAGGGCAATCTTGCTTTAACCTCACCTCAGACTGTTAGGAGGTGAGGAGAAAGAGAATGCTACTTAGTTCTGAACCTGAGGAGAGACCTCTCTGGGTCATGTTCCTGGCATGGGGAGCATATAATTTGTGACTCAAAATCTATGGATCCCACAGACAAGCTTTGGACAATTGGGCAAACTGCCTCTCTAAGGAGGGCCTTCCATTTCCTTATTTCTAAAATGAGGGGCTTGAATGAGATGCTTTTAAAAGGCCTTCCCAGCTCTGATGTTTTATATTCTAAACTCCTCAGATCTGAAATTTTATGTTCTAAGGACCATCTCAGATCTGACATTCTAAGTCAATTAAGAGCCAACTAGGTTTCTTCCTTCAGGTCATGTCCACTAACCATGGATGCCCCACCAAAGTTCTAGCCTGCATTCTCATCCCTATCTACTCTCTGGCAGGGTGATCTCCACAGTTCCCATGGGTACAATTCTCATCTCTAGGCTGATCATCCTCATGGATAACTCCAGGTCACAGAAGTCCTTTTCTCTCATTTGTGACAGGCTCAAGAAGGTCCCTTTAGACATGATTTGGCTTCTTTGCTGTGTCCCTTTTGGAGCCATAAATCTCTGTCCAGTCTGTCCTTGGCTACCAAAGTAGATAGTGATATCAGCTGGTCCCTGGATGCCTCAGGGACATCGATGGGAAGATGGGATACCCAACATCCTCTGGAATCTCCCAAGGTCATCTTCTGGCAAAAGAAGTAGGGAAGAAGGAGACATAGGCCAACACCCTCCCTTCCATCCAGGTTTTCTACTTAGGGATTCCATTAGAATCCCATGCTTGATACAATCTCTCAAATGATTCTTATGAACTCACTTGTCCTTTGCAGACGATCTCTAGGGTTTGGCCAAATTTCCCCAGCTTAGTCAAACTCTCTTCCTGTGAAATATCACTGGAGTTTCAAGTACCTTCCACAATTGGGCTAAAGCCTCTGATTGAGACTCTTTTTTAGTTTTATTTATTTATTTATTTATTTTAACATGTGTTTTTAAAACTTTGGGTTGCAAATGTTCTCCCTTCCTCCCTCCCCACCCACCCTCATTGAAAAGGCAAGCATATCGATATAGGTTATAGATGTGTAGTCATGCAAAACACTTCCATAGTAGTCATGTTGTGAAAAGCTAAGTATATTTCCCTTCATCCTATCCTATCCCCCATTTATTCTATTCTTTCTTTTGACCCTGTCCCTCCTCAGAAGTGTTTGCATCTGATTATCCCCTCCCCCAATCTGCCCTCCCCTATATCAACCCCCTGCTCTCTTGTCTCCTTCCCTCCTTATTTTCCTGTAGGGTAAGCTAGATTCCCATACCCAAATGAGTGTGTATGTTATTCCCCCCCTTAAGCCAAATCCTATGAGAATAAGATTCACTCATTCCCTCTCACCTTCCCTCGTTTCCCCTCCACTGTAGAAGCCTTTTCTTGTCTGTTTCATGTGAGATAATTTACTCCATTCTACTTTTCCCTTTCTCCTTCTCCCAGTATAATCCTCTCTCACCTCTTAATTTTATTTTCCAGATATCACCCCTTCATCTTCAGCTCACTCTGTGCCCTCTCTCTCTCTCTCTCTCTCTCTCTCTCTCTCTCTCTCTCTCTCCATACATACATACATATAATTTTTCCCCTCCCACTACCCTAATGCTGACAAAGGTCTCGTGAGTTATAAATACCATCTTTCCATGCAGGAATGTAAACAGTTCAGCCTTAATAAGTCTCTTATGATTTCTCTTTCCTGTTTACCTCTTCATGTTCCACTTGGGTCTTGTATTTGAAAGTCAAATTTTCTATTCAGCTCTGGTCTTTTCCTCAGGAATGCTTGAAAGTCCCCTATTTCACTGAATGACCATTTTTTACCTTGAAGGATTATACTCAGTTTTGCTGGGGCTCTGATTGAGATTGACTGATTCATTGTTTCCACCTGGTTAAGGTCAGGGAGATGAAAGAGAGAGTGTTTGTAAGTACCTAGCACAGTCACTAGCATATCAGACAGGGTTAAATGACTTGCCAAGGGTCACACAATCTGGGGTTGGATTTGAACTCTAGCCCTGGCACTCTAATCACTGCACCATCTAGCCATCCCCTTTTAGACTATCAGCAGACTTCGTTTTGATGGTTGATTCTTTAACTGTGAAATCCTTGTGCCAGACCAAATAAGTGGATATATTGCTGGAGAAGGAAGTTGCATCTCAATGAAAGGTTGGCCCCTAGGTGTTCCCTAGAGAGACAAAGAAAGGAGTTGGTAGAGTGGGTTTTATTGTATGCCTCAAAGCTACAAGACATCTTATTTTGTGGGACATTTGGCCATGACATATTACAATATAATTAGATGTATTTGCAAAAAGACAACCATGAAAAATGAAGTGGTTGAGAAATTCTATGAAGAAGAAAAAGCCCTCCAAATCAAATCAAATCAAAACACATACTGACACTTGGCAACATGTAATAGGTGATTAATAAATGCTTGTTGACTGAGTGACTGAATTTCATCTGATTAGTTGAAACCAATGCTAGAGTCTGTCAAAGGCCTCAATGGGAGCTGTCCCCTGGGGCTTTGTGTCTCCTGCAAACTGGACTATTACATCATCTACCCCTTTTTCTAAGTCTCTGCTAAAAAGCTGAAGCTACCCAAGGCCAAGCCCAGATCCCTGGGGATTGCCTGCCGTGCTGACATTGAACGTTAACGACCATTCCTTGAAGGCCTTTGCAGTGGTGTCAGGTCTCTAGAAGCAGGACAGAATCAGGCAGGGTCAAAGACCTGACTGCGCAGCTCCACGGGGTTTGCCTGGTGATTACTCTGTGCGCACAGTAATTACTTAGCACAGTGCCTGGCACACAGTAAGTGCTTAATAAATACCTAGTCCTTCACATCACTTTCTGAGCTCTCCGGCATGCCTGAGTCAGTGATCTTGGGCTCTGGAGGTTTCTCTGGGTGCTTAGTAAAACTGAAAAAGACTCACGGTGAGGATAGATGCCGATTTCCAAGGAGAAGCAGGTCATGAGATAGGGGACAGCCTGAGGCTTCTCCCCACAGGCAGAGCTAGGTGGGGGAGGAGCTCCTTCCAGGGAGAAGGGCAGCCAAATCCTGATTCGCACTGGGAGGAACGGTGGGGGTCCCAGGGAGCAGTAGTCCCAAAGGCGGCTCAACAAGGCGGGTGGAGCTGGGTCATCGTAGAGGCGCAGTGAGCCAGCGTCCGCACCAAGACCTGGCCACTCTGGCGCAGGGTGAATCCCTACGCAGACACCCTGAAGCGCCTCCGGGATGCCTTCGATTCTGGAAGAACCCGCCCAGCCGAATTCCGACTTATCCAGCTCCGGGGGCTGAGCCGCTTCCTGAACGAAAACCGAAAGTTGCTCCTGGATACCCTGGCCCAGGATCTGAGCAAGGTGGGGAGGGGAGGGGATGAGGAGGAAAGAGGGAGGGGCCGTGACGGGAGGGGGCCAGACGGGCACCGGGTCAATCCAGGAGAGCAGGAGAGGAGGCCAAACTGAAGTGGAAAACTGGCATGAAGTGAAGTGGACAGATTAGTCTCAGGAGCTGGGTTTGAATACCCCATGTTTCTCCCTAAGGATGTGAATCTGGAGAGCCCTTTGCCCTCTCTGGGCATATTGACGGAAGGTTCCCAACTCTAGCTGGAATTGGGGGCTTGGACTAGATGACCTCTAAGGTCCCTTCTGACCTCCATGGTCTGGGTTTCCGTCCCCACCCTGCCCCCCACGGAGGGGATGGTCGTGAGCACTGAACATCCCGTCTGGCTCATCTCTTTCTCCAGCCAGCCTTCGAAGCGGATATATCTGAGATCATCTTATGTGAGACTGAAATCAAGCTTGCTCTGAACAACCTCCACACCTGGATGAAGGATGAACGGGTGGAGAAGAATCTGGTGAGTAGGAAGGAAGAGAAGGGAAGGGGCTTAGGGCCGACTCCTTGTGTCTGGGTCCCTTTGTGTGGAAGCAAAGGTCTCCAGGCTGCACTTGGGAGCCTGAGCTGGCTCCTAACACTTGATCTACTGCTCTCCCACTGGGTGACTCTGGGGCTCCCTCAGGGTGGGGGTGAGGAAAAGTGGACAGGGAAGCACCTTGAAGAGATAATAGACAACAGGCAGGTAAGGAACCATCATCCTGAAAGGCCTATGGGACCCTGGAAGTGAGGGCCATTTAAATCACAGGTTCCTAGCAGTAAGAATGGCCCCAAAGTGGAATGGATTGCTTTGGGGGTAGTAAGCTCCCTGTGACCAGAAGTCTCTAAGTGAAAGCTTCAGGACTACTTGGGTAGGCTGTAAAGGTAGAGGTTGTGTGTGGCGCTGTCTGAGGTCCCATCCTGCTCTAAGCTGGAAGGATTGTGCCCCAGTCATTGGGCCCTGGCCCTGGACTAACTCTCACCTCCCCTCTCCCTTTGTTTGCCTTCTTCCCAACCTCCCCCTGCCTGAGTGAGGAGGGCAGGGGGAGAGGGAGGGGTGGCAGCTCCCTCCCTCCCCCCCTTCTTCAGTCTGGTTTCCTGAATTTCCTTTGGGTGGGTTGGAATGTATGCCTGGCCTGGGCTCAGGGAGCCCCCATCCCCTTCCCTGGTCCCCAGGTTACCCAGCTGGACTCAGCTTTCATCCGGAAGGAGCCCTATGGGGTGACGCTCATCATCTCCCCCTGGAACTATCCGTTGAACCTCTTGCTGATGCCTTTAGTGGGGGCCATTGCTGCAGGTAAGAAATGGGCCACAGGCAGAGGATGCCCTCATCTGCCCAGCTGCCTTTTCTGGGGCTCCCTCTCTGACCTTCAGTCTCCTCCCCTGTAACCTGGAATTGTTCCCATCATCCCCAGGAGCCACAGAGGCTGGCGGGCCTTCACCAGGTAGGGTGGTGCAGTGAATAGAGCACTGGCCTGGGCTCCACTCAAGCAGTGCCTCAGATACTTCTAACCATGTGAGTCACTTCCATCTGTTCCTCAGTTTCCTTCTTTGTGAAATGAGAGGGTCTTTCCAGCCCAACTCTTCAAGACCACCTTACATCCATTATCACATCTGAGCCACACAGCAGCTCCATTTGACAGATGAGGCAACTGAGGAGGAGGAGGAGGAGGAGTGATTTACTTCCTCAGGGTCTGCCTGATTCTAGGTCCATCCCTCTAACCACCACCCCACACTGTCTCTTGAAGTGGCTGTGTGTCATCCTTCCCTCAGATTCCTAGAAGGAAAGTGTCTTGTAAGCCTTCAGCTCTTTAGAAATGTGTCTCAGAGTCCGGCTGTCAGCTTTCTTCCAACAAACCTGGTCTCGTGCTCATCTCCCTCTGACACACAGTCTCACACGAGGGTGTGCTTTGACGCAGGGGCTTTGTCTAAATACTGCTTGCAGAGAGGCTTTGACCGCTACCCCAGGAATCTGGCCTGCCCCTCCCCGAGGGAGGCTTTGGCTCTTGCCTGGAGGGGATCAGGCGAGGAGGCCAGGAGCCTGGCTACTCCATTTTCCTCAGAAGAGTGCCAGACTAGAATCATATCCATCTGCCCACAGACACACTGGGAGACTGGGACAAGAATGTTTTTCTCAGGCTTAAGCCACTTCCCTGGTCCTTATCCTTTAGAGAGGAAAGGCTACCCCAAGCTCTTATCCAAAGGCTTGACCCCTTCCCACCAAATGCTAGTCACACAAAAAGACCATCCCAAGGAAACCCATTCATCCAAACAGAAGGCAGGGAGTCAGTAAGATAAGTATCTGTTGTGTGCCAGGCACTGTGCCCAGCCCTAACGATACAAAAAAGAGGTAAAAGACAGTCCCTGACCTCATGGAGCTTCAAATCTAATGATATTTAGCATTTATCTAGTGCTTTCCAAGTATTATCCCATTTGATCCTCACATCAGTTCTGGGAGGGGAATGCTATTATCCCCATTTTACAGATGAGAAAACTGAGACAGAGTGTGGTTAAGTGATTTGCCCAGAGTTACCCCACGAGTAAGTGTCTGCAGCCAGATTTGAATTCAGGTCTTCTCAACTCCAGGTCCTGTATTCTAGCTGCTGCACCATCTATAGTGTCTACAAATTAGAATGTATCAGATAACACAGAGTGAATGAATTTTCTCATTGAGAGGGAGATATGTCGTATCAACAGAGAGACAAAGACAGAGACAGAAATAGAGACAAAGACACCCATAGACAGAGACAGACAGAGAGAGATGGAGGGAGGGAGAGAGAGAGGGGGGCAAGAGAGGGAGAGGGAGAAGGAGAGAGAGAGAGAGGAGAGAGAGAGAGAGAGAGAGAGAGAGAGAGAGAGAGAGAGAGAGAGAGAGAGGAAATTCCCCTAAGTTTCTCAGGAGGCAAGACAGAAATCAGGAGTATCTTTTTTTTTTTTGTGAAGCAATTGAGGTTAAGTGACTTGCTCAGGGTCACACAGCTAGTAAGTGTTATGTGTCTGAGGCTGGATTTGAACTCAGGTCCTCCTGACTCCAGGGCCGGTGCTCTATCTACTGTGCCACCTAGCTGCCCCCAAAATCAGGAATATCCACCTTCCAAAGTCTTCTCTCTCTTGCCCTGCAGTTGGTCCCAAAGAGCAGTGGGAAATCCCAAAGTCTTCTCCCAAAGCAAGAAAGAAGAGGAAGGTTTCTCTTTCCCAGAGCTCTCTGTCCATCTCAGCCCCATCATTTTCTCCACCAATGAGGAAGGTCTTCTGTGAATGGTCCAGACCTTCTCTGTCCCTTTCTCTTTCTGTCCCTCAGTCTTTGCCTGCATCTCCAGCACCACTCTGGAAACAGGAATGGTTCCTTCTCCTTTCCTCTCCACTGGGCCCCTTCCTCCTCGTGGCCAGGCAGAGCTGGGGGAGATGCTTGGTGGTGATCCAGCAGGGATGACAAGACTTAGGTGGGGAGAACACAGCAGGGCAAGGGATGGCCAGAGAAGAGTGGAGGGTACATCAGGCCTGGCATCCTCTCAGGAGGAATCAGAACCTGCCTCTTCTTGCCCTCCCTCCTGGCAGGTAACTGTGTGGTTTTAAAGCCCTCAGAGATAAGTAAGAGCATGGAGAAGGTCATTGCTGAAGTGCTACCCCAGTACCTGGACAAGGTGAGAGGGCCCGACCCAGGCCAAGTGCTCAGAACCCTTCCCTTTAAAGAATTCACCAGCCCTTTGGAGCCTTCTCTCTGGCTGTGGCCTCTCTCTCCCTCTGGCTCCCTCTGGAGGGGACATTTGGGGTTTGGAGTGGGTGGTGAAGGCAAGGGGAGGAAGAAAAGCAGGGACCTGGCTGGGGGGATGGGGCTGAACAGGACCTCTCTCCTTGGAACCTCAATTCTGTGAAAAGCCTTTGGGTGAAGCAAGGTGGTGGTGGGGGATGGGAATCAGGTGTTTCAGAGTTGAGGAGGCTCTGGGCCTCAGTTTCCTCATCTATAAAATGAAGGGGTTGGACTAGATCCCCTCCAGCTCTGCCTGTATGGTGGTCCTGTAGCTCAGCCAGATCTCCAAGCTCCAGCCACACCGCCCCCACCCCCAAAATGGCCCCCTCCACCCTCACCTTCAGGGGTGCCTTTCCCTTGGAAGGATTTATTCCTGACTTTCTCTCTTCCCCAGCCATCCCATACCTGGTTCCTGAGTTTTCTCTCAGCCATTCTAGCAGAGTCAGGGGATCTGCATTCCAATTCTGCCTGTGGGCAGTAGGCAAGTCATTGAACCTTTCGGGGGGCCCATTTCCTCCTCTGTAATGTGGAAATCTATCTTGAGGATGTTCCTTAAGGTCCTTCAAGCCCTAAATTGGTTGTCTCCTTCCTTGCCTCGGCACTGGCTTGGCGGAGGAGATCCAGTCATCCTGGATAGGGTCCTCCAGGCTGGGAGCTCTCGGGAATGAGCAATCCTGTCCTGGGTTCCAGAACTGCTTTGCCACAGTGCTGGGAGGCCCCCAGGAGGCCACGATTCTGCTCAAGAACAGATTTGACTACATCTTCTTCACAGGTGAGCCAGGGCTGGGCAGCCTGTTCTGGGAGATGGGACTCTTTGGCTCCCCCCAGCCCGAGGGCTCAGGCTGGGATCTCAGCCCCTTCCTCTGGGGAGGGGAGGGAGACCAGCACATCCCAGATCACAAGCCTGTCAATGCCTGGCTTTGGGGACAAAGAGAAGTCATGTTGGGAAGTAGAGGGGCAGGTCCCAAAAAGGAGGTGGCTCCTTCTAAACTCAAGCCCCCACTCTTAATGGAACTTTAAAGCCGAGAAAGGACTTCGAGAGCTGTGAGTGCCCCTCCCTCATTTTACAGATGGAGAACCAGGACAGTGGGGGAAGGGCCCAGCAGGTTATTTTTTCCCAGCTCTTTCTGCAGGGCAGCTCCATGCTCACCCCCAGTCCCCAGCATTCTCACCACCTGGCGGCATCTCAGGGCATTTTCACACCTCTTATCTCAGCTAAACTGCCTTGGGAGGGAGGAAGAAGAGAGGGCTCACAGCAGTCTCCCCATCTGAGGTCCAGGGAGGGGCAGCATGACTGGGCATCCAAGACTATTACTGGGGGTGAGAAGCAGGATGGTCGGATGTCAAAGGCAGGAGGAACTCAGGGCAAAGAACAGAGAACATCAGAGATGCAGAGGACCTTAAACATGAAATGTCGCTGCTAGGAGAGGCCTTAGAGACCACCTAGTGCACCGTGTTCATAGAACAGCAGGCAGAGGGTGCCATGGGGCCAAGGGGGGGCTTTTCCTCAAAGGAAAGGGCTTCTCACCTGTCCCCAGGAAGCCCCCGAGTAGGCCGGATCGTCATGTCCGCTGCCTCCAAGTACCTGACCCCCATCACACTGGAGCTGGGAGGGAAGAACCCCTGTTACGTGGATGACAACTGTGACCCCCAAAATGTGGCCAACCGTGTGGCCTGGTTCCGTTTCTTCAACGCGGGACAGACGTGCGTGGCCCCAGACTACATCCTGTGTACCCGGGAGACACAGGAGAAGCTGCTGCCTGCCCTGCAAAATGCAGTGACCCAGTTCTATGGGAAGGATCCTCAGGGTTCCCCAGACCTGGGCCGCATCATCAGTGACAAGCATTTCCACAGGCTTCGAGGCCTGCTGGGCAATGGCCGAGCAGCCATTGGCGGCCAGTCAGACGAGCAGGAACGCTACATTGGTGAGCGACCCCCTTCCCACCCCCCCAGGGTCCTTGGTGCTGGCAGCTCTGAAGAAGCCACAGGGAGTAAGGTGTGGTCACCCTGTGACCAGGACCCCGTGAGGGGCTCCATGGCACAGTGTGCATTGCTTTACCCCCAAAGTCTGCCCTACGATAACTTTTTTACACCCCCACCACCTCTGCCCCCCTGCCCTGGGTCCCTCTGAGAGCCCCAGCCTAAGGTCTCCTCTGTGGTCCGAGGCAGCCCCCACGGTGCTGGTGGATGTGAAGGAGACAGACCCCGTGATGCAGGAGGAGATCTTTGGGCCCATTTTACCCATCCTGAATGTGCAGAGCATCGATGAGGCCATTGCTTTCATCAGGAAGAGAGAGAAGCCTCTGGCCCTATATGCCTTCTCCAAGAATTCCAAGGTAAGGAGCTTGGGGCTCTGAGGCAGAGAAGGGGATGGTGAGTGGGGCCAGAGAAGAAAGAGAGGCCTGGGGGTGAGGCTGGCCTGCCCACCTGTTCTGCTCCGGTGAAGGGGAGGGGGCCTTCCCCCACCTACCCTGGGGCGGGGGGGGGCAATACTTGAAGCTTATTCACTCAGGTAGCTTGGCCCCTGTCAGCCCTCTGGGACAGCGGTTGTTACCCTAAGGTTCTGGAGGGAGTCTGGTAAGAGGTGAAGGTGAGTTTAGAGAGACCTGTTTCAGGGGACCTTCCACCTGCCCCCAGTCGTGGGGAGGCTTCTCAGGCAGGCCAGCCCCAGAGAGGTTCAGAAGCTCTCCTGTCTGGTTGGATGAATTTGGGGCTCCAGCTCCCCAGTGTCTCTCCTGCTTGCTCCCTGTCTTTTCCAGGTGGTGAATAAGGTTCTGGACCAGACCAGCAGTGGCAACTTTGGGGGAAATGATGGCTTCATGTTTATGACAATGACATCCATGCCTTTTGGGGGAGTTGGTAGGTTTCAGGCTCAGCCTTTGCCCTCCTCAGCTGGGTGTAGACCCTGGGCCCCTTCTGGGCCCTGAAGGCTAGGAAAAGGAATAACTCTGTCCTAGGTTTCAAGGCTCAGGCTGGGGCGAGGACTTGGCCTGTCCCCAAGCTCAGGCTCAGAGCTCAGTCTAGACCAGGGCTGGAGTCCATTCTGTCTTCATGCTCAGGGTGTGGTCTGGGGCCAGGACTGGGGCTCAGGCTGTCTGCAGGGGCAGTGCTTAGGCTCTGGACTGGGGTAGAAATCCCTCAGTATCCCCTGAAGGCAAGAACTCACTCTGGGATCTGGGCTAAGTTCAGCCTTGGTTAGATGGTCACCTGCACCCAAGCATGGTGAGCCCCATCTGGATCCAGAAGGACCCCAGCTGAGTACAGGGCCCCCACCCCCTCCTGAGAGCCCAGCCTCTTGTCCATGGACAGATGACCCTTAAAAATGTCATAGTCTTCTCTCCTTGTCCTCCTCCTCCTCATAGATCTATAGTTTATCCAGAGCCTTCTGGAGAGAATACCTGATCCCCCAAAGACACCAGAATGAGAAAAATGCCAACCCCCCGATGAGGCTGCAAAGAGGAGAGAGGGCACAGTGAGGATGGTGGAGTGGGAGGAGCCCTGGGTGGCAGCCAGGCTGACACCTGTGGGACCTTAGGCAGGTGACTTTTGGTACCTCAGTTTTCTTCCTTGTAAAATGGGACCATTGGATCTCCAAGGTCCCTCTCATCTCTGACATTTTATTCTCTGTACTTTCCCATCCCTCTTTGCCCTGGTATTCTTTGTTCTATATCCTAGGGCCTTCCTCAGCTCGCACACTGCCTGCTCTAAGGTGCCTTCAAGCTTTGACATTCTGGGTTCTCAGGTCCATGCCAGCTCTGATTTTGTTTTCTGCGTGTCACATTCCCTTCAAGTTCTGACATTCTAAGATTCCTTCCTTCTCAGATGTTCTGCGTTCTAGGGATTGTCTCCAATCTGACATTCTGTGTTCTTTACATCTCAGACACTTTGCAGTCTGTATGTGATGGGCTCCCCAGCTTTAATGATCCAGTCTGTGATGACTTTAGAATGTTTCAGGGTGAGGGGTGTGGAGGATACCTGTCTCCCGGAGGGCTGAGGGAAGGTTGCTGTCCATGGTCTGCCTGGTCCCCTGCTCAGCCAGATCCCTAACTCATGTTGCAGGTCACAGTGGGATGGGCGAATACCATGGCAAGTTCACCTTTGACGCATTCTCCCACCGGCGTGGTTGCCTCCTTCGTAGCCCATACCTGGAGATGATCGACAAGATTCGCTACCCACCCTACTCCCCGGGGCATCAGAGGCTGCTGGTGTGGATTTTGGAGCACAAACTGAGCTTCCCTTGCTCCATCCTGTGAACCGCCTCATCATCCTTGACCTTCCCTGGACCTGCAGGCTTGGGAGGGCAGTACCAGGCCTCCCCACTTGTATTGGGTGTTCTCCCTGTCTCTCACAACTTCAGATACCCTACCTGAGCCCCATCATAGTAACCTGCTTGGCCCTAGGCCTTCCCACCCTGACCTGGAAAGAAATGGTGTTTTCACGTAAGAGATGTGATTAATAGATCGTAGGCTCACAGATCCAGCTCTGGAGAGGAACTTGGAGGACATCAGTCCAACCCTATCATTTTATGGATGAAGAAACTGAGTCTAAGGCTAAGGGATTCCCCAAGATCACACGAGCAGTAAATGACAGAAACAATTCAAACTTGGGTCCTGGGACCTTTCTCATTGCACCACATTGCCTTCTCACATAGCCAATGTCATCCATCACGTCCACTTCAGAAAACCATGCTGTCATAGCTGTAGGTCACCTCTCCAACCCCCTAATGACTTATGTGCAATCAGGACTCTGGGGCTATCTTATTGGCCATGGTTCTGGGGAGCTTGGTATTACTGCAGAGGGATCATGGGTCACACAGGTAGTGTTGGTGTCAGTATCTGAACCCAGTTCCTCTGACTCTTTTCACTGTGCCATACTGCCTAGGCTAAACCTTGCTTACCTGAAGCAACGTGAGGAATTTCTCATGGGAAACCTCATTGCCTCTGGGCAGAACAATAGCGAGCATGTGTACCCATCTGCAGTGATCCATTTTCCTATCAAGAACATTCCTTGTTTAAAGAACGTCCCCAGCACAACTGCAGCACTGAATGGCGAACACAACTTTGTCTTCCTTCGTTTGTCCCAAGTTCCTACCTGTCTGCTCCTCTTCCCACGGGTGACTTTTCCCTTTAGCCTGTTCACAGAGGAGCTCCTTCTAGAGCTCTGAGGATACTCAGACTTGGTCCGTTTTTGAATTCTTTATCCCTCATAGCTGTAATAAAGAATACCTTGTTGGAGTCAAGAGGACCTGAGTTCAAATCCGGCCTCAGACCAAACACTTGGCACTTACTAGCGGTGTGACCCTGGGCAAGTCACTTAACCCCAACTGCCTAAAAATTTTTTTAAAAATTGAAAAAAAAGCATGCCTTGGCCAAACTAGAAAGAGAAAATGTGGAATCACGTCTTAGATACTTATCGCTATGAAGTTACCATCTTCAACATGACCTGGTAACAACAAGCAGTGTTCTCCACGTGATCTTTGGAGGAGACAGGTAGCCCATCACTGGGTTCATACTCAGAGCCTTTCTGGCTTGGAAGGGCGTGCCCCTCATTCAAACCAACAGTCAGTCAATTGCAGCATCCCTTTGCTGCATGTAGGGTCCCGGAACTTGTTCAAGTCCACCATCTCCCCAGAGTCACTTTTCGAGCCCCCATCTCCGTTGAACATCCCTCAACCAAGACCATCGTTGAACATGTGACAGCAGAGTAAGATAAAGAACTTTTACTTGAATCAATCGGTCAACAGGCATTTATTGAGAGAGAAGAAGGGAGTGAGACAGAGAAAGTGGAGCTCCCGAGAATAAATGACTTTTTGAAGGAGAATAGTGGAGAAGGGAGAAGGGCAGGATCAAATGAAGGTTGTTGTTCTTTTTAAGGATAAAGGAGACATGGGTGCATTGGTAGGTAACAAAGAAGGAGCTAGTCGCTATGGAGAGAATGATAAGAATAGGGACTTCGGTATCCCCAGGGGGCAATCTGCTGGAGAACATAGGAGGGGAAAGGATCTAGGGAGCACATAAAAGGGCTGCCTCTATAAGGAGAAGAGGGATCTCTTCATGTGAGACAGAAGGAGATAGTAGCAGAAGGCATATAGTCTGTTAAATGGGGAGCCTCTGCCAAGTGTGTGTGTGTGTGTGTGTGTGTGTGTGTGTGTGTGTAGGGGGGAGGGGGGTATGGCTTGAGTGAGCACCTGTGTGCACATGGGCAGTCTCTACTCCTTGCAGGGCTCATGTAGTCTCTGTCCAGTGTTGGTCCCAAACACAACTGAGGTTATGAAGCATCTCAAATTCCTGTTTTTGCCATCAGCTGGAGTTCTTAGCTCATAGGAAGAGTAGGTTCTGCTAGGACTCAACTGGTTCAAAGCACAGAGAGGCTCTTTTACAAAACCTGACACATCACAATGTTGCGGGTTGAGCTGCTCCTGCTCCACCACTGTTATGGGTCTCTATTATTAGGAAGAGTCCATGAGATAACTTAGAGGGAGCAAGGCTCACTCTGTTGCCAGAGCTCAATCTGGAACTAAGAGCAGGGCTCAGTCTGGGGCAGGTTTGGCAGTGAGTTAGAAGTCAGGATCAGGACTAGAGTGAAGAAGCTATAGAGACCAGGGTTCATTCTATGGCTAGAATTGAGGCTGGGTCTGAAACCAAAGATGGGGTCTGCTGAGTAAATAAACCAAATCACCTCATTTAAACTAAGTGTCAAGATGCCAAAATCTGATAACTTATTAGGTGTGAATACATCTTTGTTTGAATCAGTCAAACTGGAAGTGTGAGCCATGGCCAACATCTCTATTCAAATAGCCAATCAGGACTTTAGACACAATGGAAAAAGTCCTTGGAAGTTACTGGGTGAACTGCAGTGACAATGAAAGTCTGTTCTGATTGGTTTAGGGACAATTACATCATTGGGCTTATATAAAGCCTAGGGGGAAGGGGAGGGGGGAGAAAGGAAGAGAGAAGTGAGGGAGAGGGAAGAGGGGGAGCGATATCCAGGCATCCATCTGCTTAGTGATGGGAATTCTTCTAGGCAAGTACCTGAGAAGGAATCACTTAGGGGCAGGAGGAAACAAGTGAGCCTCAGTCTCCTTCCTCTTCCTTTTTTTAGGATAAAGGAGACATGGGTGTGTAGGCGGGAGGAGAAGGAGGACCTTGCAAACTTCAAAGGTTCTTCAGAGTTCTTGACTTCTCAAATTCTGATCAGCATCATCTCTAATTACTAGTAACTAATTATCTGGGTGACTAATTGATCTACCAAATCAGGGTGGGAAGCTCAGGCTTATGAGCTACAGCATTAGACAAGCCCCTTCCCCACCTACCACCCACTCTCATTCCATCCCTTAGGGGGCAAGTAGCCAAGCTCAGGGGTCCTGACCTGCCAAGTGAGGGGGATAGGCAGGGGCAGTCCAGAAAACCCCTGGGTCACACTAGGAGCAGGTCTGATTCTGGAGCAGGCTCAGCACTCAGTCTGTGGCCATTTTTAGGGGCTCAGTCTTTAGCTAAGCCCAGGCCATCCTTCACATAGCTGGAAGTGATTTTCCTGAAGTTCAGGGTCTAACAATGTCTCAGCCACTCAATAAACTCCAGTGGCTCCCTATTACCTCCAGGTTCAAATGTCAGATCCCCTGGCCTTCCAAGCCCTTCACATCCTGGCCCCTCCATGCCTTTCTAGTCTTTTTACACTTTATGTCCCTCTAGATCCTTGGCCTTTCTGCTGTTCCTTGCAACTGATCCTCCATTTCCCAACTCCATGGCTTTGCCTTGGCTGTGCCCCACCCCTGTCATGCTCTCCCTCCTTGCCTCCATCTTCCGGCTCCCCTGGATTCCTTCAAGACACTTGCTCATTGCCTCCCCCTCTGAAATGATCTTCCCTTTACCCTGTGTAGACCTTGTATGTGCAGAATTATTTACAGCTCATCTCCCCCACTCGAATGTAAGCTCCTTGAGGGCAGACCTTGTGTTTGCCTTCTTCCCGCAGGGTGCCTGGCACACAGGATGCATTTAACCAATGTTTACTGATGACTGATTGATGTGAGCATGTAGGGGAGAGTCCAATGCGTACTGGCTGGTGTTTTAGCTCCCTCTGGTGGGTGTCTGCTCAGCAGAGTCACTGGATTGACAGCTGGAAAGGAGGTCCCTGAAGATCCACTCCAAGCCCCTCATCTTACACAAAGAGAAACAGGCCTCCCAGGGAAGTGACTCGCTGAATTTCAGGTCACACAGACAGTGTAAAGAAAATCTGATTACACTCTCTTCATTTCAAAGTCTCACAACCTCCCGGAGGGCAGATTCTCAGTCATTATGCCCATTTTACAGGTGAGGAAACTCAGCTTTAGAGAGATGGCCTGGCTTGTGCAAGGTCACACATGGAGTCAGAATTTGAACTCAGGGCCACTGGACTCTAAGCCCAGTGCTCCATCCATTATCCATGGCACTTTCTGAGTAGTAACAGCACCACATTGGAATCTAGGGCCTTTCATTCTAAATACAGAGCTGTTTCCATTTAACTTTTTAAAGCCTTAGTTTCTTCATCAGTAGAATGGGCATCATGATGTCTTATAGGGCTTTTGTCCTGGTTGTCATGAAGTTCAGAGGAGATAATGTCTGCCCAACCCTTGCCAGAGCTTAAAGTTGTGTGTGCCTCTGTTTCCCCACTAGTCCAGCTGGTCTGTACTTAGGGGCCCAGGCAGGCTATGGGACCCCAGTGCAGTCTGTGAGCAGATGTCAAAGCCACAACTGCAGATCAGCAGCTGTCAGAGAAAAAAGAATAGTGTCAAGTCGACAGTTCAGCCTCTTCTTTCCCTTAGCAGGTGGCAGGCAACCCTGGGCTGGTCAATTTTTTTTTAATTCAATTTTATTTTATTTTTGGTTCTGAATCCTCTCCCTCCCACTTCCTCCTTCCTTCCCCTCCCCATTGAGAAAGCAAAAAAAAAATCAGTTACAGATACATATAGCTGAGTAAAACAAATTCCCATATTAGCCATGTCTGTTCCTCCGCCCCCCCCCCAAAAGGCTTCAATCCACGTTCTGAATCATTCACCTCACCATCAGAGGTTTTAACACGACTCCTCTGGAATCATGGTTGGTCATAGTCTTTCAAAGTTGTTTTTTTCTTTTTAATTAATTTATTTTGATTTATCAACAATCACTTCCATTAAGCTTTTGAGTTTTAAATTTTTCTCCCCCTCTCTCTACCTCCCTCCCCAAGACGGTGTGCAATCTGATATAGGCTCTCCATATACATTCCTATTAAACATATTTTCACATTAGTGATGTTGTAAAGAAGAATTAGAACCAATAGAAGGAACCACAAGAAAGAAGAAACAAAACATAACAGAAGAAAAAAATAACAAACAGTCTGCTTCGATCTGCATCCAAACTCCACAGTTCTTTCTTGGGATGTGGAGAGCATTTTCCAGCATGAGACTTAGAATTGTCTTAGATCCTTGCATTGCTGAGAAGGGCTAAGTCTACCAAAGTCAGTCATAGCACAATGTGGCTGTTATTGTGTACAGCTTTCTCCTGGTTCTGCTCCCTTCCCTCAGCATCAGTGGAATGGGTTAGGTATGCAAGACACAATGACTGTAGTAATCTACTATCTGATAAACCCAAAGGCCCCAGCTTCTGGGATCAGAACCCACTCTTTGACAAAAACTGCTGGGAACACTGGGAGAGAGTATGGCAGAAACTAGGCATAGACCAACATCTCACGCTATACACCAAAATAAAGTCAAGATGGATTCATGGTTTAAATATAAAGGCTGATACTATAAGCAAACTGGGAGGGCAAGGAATAGTTTACCTATCAGATCTATGGAGAACAGAAGAATTCATGACCAAACAGGAGGTAGAGAACATTAAGAAAAGCAAAATGCATAATTCTGATTACATTAAATTGAAAAGTTTTGCACAAACAAAGCCAATGCAACCAAGATTAGGAGGGAAGCAGAAAACTGGGAAAGAATTTTTACAACCGGTGTCGCTGATAAGGGCTTCATTTCTAAAATACATTGAGAACTAAGTCAAATTTATAAGAATACAAGTCATTCCCCAATTGATAGATGGTCAAAGGATATGAACAGGCAGTTCTCATATGAAGAAATGAAAGCCATCTATAGTCATATGAAAATGCGCTAAATCACTATTGATTAAAGAAATGCAAATCAAAACAACTCTGAGGTACCATATCACACCTATCAGATTGGCCAATGTGATAAAACAGAAAAATGATAAATGTTGGAGAAGATGTGGGAAAATTGGAACACCAATGCATTGTTGGTGAAGTTGTGAAATGATCCAACCATTTTGGAGAGCAATTTGGAACTATGCCCAAAGGGCTATAAAAATGTGCATACCCTTTGATCCAGCAATAGCACTTCTAGGGCTCTATCCCAAAGAGATCAAACAAATGGGAAAAGGACCCACACGTACAAAAATATTCATAGCAGCTCTTTTTGTGGTGGCAAAGAATTGGAAGTTGAGAGGATGCCCATCCATTGGGGAACGGCGGAACACGTTGTGGTATATGAATGTAATGGAATACTATTGTGCTGTAAGAAATGATGAGCAGGTGGCGGACTCCAGAAAAACCTCAAAGTTGTTTGTTGTTACAATGTTACTGTTATTGTCTACATTGTTCTCCTGGTTCTGCTTACCTCACTCTGCATCAGTTTGGATAAGTTTTCACAGGTTTGCCTATAAATATTTTTGTATAGATAGATACTTTTCATCTCTCTCTGATCTTTTTGGGGTTTAGGCAGAGTAGCAGCTGGGTCAAAGTGTATGTTTAATAACTTTTAATCACTTTTGGGGCATTGTTCCAAATTGCTTTCCAGAATGGCTGGACCAGTTGAGAGTTCTCCGAAGGTCAATGTGACTGTTTTCCCAGCCTCGATCTGGCCCCTGAGTAATCATGGGGCTGATGCCACTGGGGCCTCTAAAGGTGGGATAGAAAATGTGCATTTCTTCATCTTGTAGAAGGCGGCTCCTTTCTCACAGTAGGAGGCCTCATTGATGAAGGCTGGGTAGATGGTGGCATCACCCTCGTAGAAGATCTCTTCCCCACTGAAGAGCTGAAAAATGGGGTCTCCTGGCTTCAGAGGAAAGAAATCTTTGTCCTGAGCAAAGGAGATGAATGTCAGTGGAGACCCCAATGCTGGGGTTGGAGAAGTGGAGCAGGCTCCAGAGCAGAGGGGATTGGAAGCCATTCTCCAGTGGGCAGGGAGGCAGTGAAGCCCAGTAGAAGGAGCGATAAGGAGGGTTGGTGTTAGAAAAATCTGAAACAAAAATCTACTACAGTAAGGGAGTGAAGGAAAGCCTTTATTACACTTCTTTTGAGGTGGAGAAAAGCCTTTGCCCTGTCTAGGCCTTGACCCCAACAGGTTGCAACTGGTTTAGCCTCCAGGGCTTTTTTTTTTTTTGGCAATTGGGGTTAAGTGACTTGCCCAGGGTCACACAGCTGATAAGTGTCAAGGGTTTGGTCTGAGGCTGGATTTGAACTCAGGTCCTCCTGACCTCAGGGCCAGTGCTCCATCCACTGTGCCACCTAGCTGCCCCTCCAGGGTTCTTTCTTGAGGAACTAGTTGTTTACAGAAAGTTGGGAGCACTTTCTGATTGGTTGAGGGACTATTCAGAAGATCTTGGAAGTCCTCAGAATCCCCTTGTTCCATTGTGGAGGCCTCACTTCTAATCCTTTCCTACAGTTGGGAATCAGGGGAGCCCTCGGAGGCCCTACCTCACTGTGTGAACTTTGAGAAGGCCCCTAACCCTCTTTCAATCTTGGTTCTCTTTTCTGTAAAGGAACAGGGACTGAACCTGTGATTTCACTGATATAGAGAATTCCCTGATACAAATCAGCACCTTCTGTGAACCTTATGGTTTTAGAGAGTTACCAGGGACACGAAAGGGTTAAATGACTTGCCCAGGGTCACACCAGTGGGAGGACTTGTTCTCCTTTCTCCCTGGCTCTGAAACCAGCTCTCTGCCCACTGCACCACTCTTTCTTTCCGTAAAACTGGGATAATAGGTTGTTTGGCGTGTGTGTGTGTGTGTGTGTGTGTGTGTGTGTGTGTGTGTGTGTGTAATTATGAGGACTGATTGAATGTGTTTGCAAGGTGTTCTGGTGACAGGAAACCATAAGGCCCTATGCTAATGTGTTTTAATTACCAGGTTGTTTTTTTTGCATGAACTTTTAATTAATACGTTTAATATAATTTAACATTCTTTCTGGACTAAAAAGTGTCCTTCCGATACCCTACCATTCTATGGAAGTGACCCTGGGGCTTAAAGATAGATGCCCCCCCCCAAGTCCTCAAGGATGTGCCAGTGAGAAGCTGCCTGGCCCAGGGGCAGCTTGGCTAAAGGCAGAGGGATCTGTCACCACACTGGCCCAAGGGTGACCAATTATAGCTACATATTATTCCTAGTGATTTCAACTGCTTTACTGGACGTGTGTGTGTGCGTGTGTGTGTGCGTGTGTGCGTGTGTGTGTGTGCGTGCGTGTATCTATATATACACTTCATTCCTATTAAAAGAAAAAAAGATCAAGCCCTAACCTGGCCATGTTGCCTTCTACTCAAAAGTCTTCATTGGTTTCTTCTTGCTTCAAAGGTAAAATATAAAATCCTCAGCCTGGCATGTAAGACCTTTTCTGATCTGCCTCCCACCTGCTTGTATGACCCTGGAAAAAATGACTTGGGTCTCAGTTTCCTCATCTGACAGCTGAGGAGCTCAGACCAGATGGCCTTAGAAGTCCTTTTCCTGTGATCCCATAATGCTATTGATACCCTTCAATCCATCACTCAATGAGCATTCTATTGAGCACCTACTATGTGCCAAGGCCTAGGTTAGGCTCTGGGTGGAACAGACAAAGATAAAACCATCCCTGTCCTTCAACTGGGGGACTCCTATAACTGCGTGTTGTCTCCCCAATAGGATGCCCATTCTTGGAGAGCAGAGGTGGTTTCATTTTTTTTGGTCTTTGCATCCTCACTGTCTAGCAAAGTGCCTGGCACATAGTAGGTGCTTAATGAATGTCTTGCCCCTCAACTACTTTCCAAAGGAAACTGGGACAATGGGGGGAGGGGACAGGCCTCTGGCTAGGCTGGGCTAGAGTTGGTTTCAGTTACTCTGGACCCCCGAGCAAACTGGCATCAGAAGCCAGACTTAGGACCCCTGGGATTAATTGCTTGAGTTTGTTTAATTATAGCAGGAGGACTAATTGGAAGGCACTCCTACTGATGCATTAGCTGGTCCCCTAAAGACCTGTACTGGCCAGCTCTGGGGAAAAGACTCACTTAGCTGAGCTACTTAATAAAGGTACTCCAGGACAGCAGCTCTTCACTCAGTCAAATTAGTGTGCTTTGCTCCCCGCCTCCCTTACGTGGGTGATTATTTCTCTCCATTTGTTTACATAGATAAATTTTCTGCATTTTTCATAAATGGGCTATGGCTGTTGAGGGTGGGGTGGGAAATAGGAGATTGGGGAGGGTGGAAATAACCCTTGACCTTGGTTGAACTGCCTTCGCTAGGGTTTTTCCAATTCCCACCTTGTCTCAGTTAAGCTCAAGGGCAGAAGGAGCAGCTTAGCTGGTGCAGCCTGCTGGTCTTGGAGTCAGAAAGACTTTAACTCAAATCCAACTGCAGACATTTACCATCTGTGTGACCCCTAGGCAAGTCACTTAGCCTCAGTTTCCTCATCCATAAAATAGGGATAACAATAGCACACACACCCTCAAGGTCTGAGAAAACGAGAAAAATTTTGTGAAGCGCTTTGTAAACCTTAAAAGGTTCTATAAATGCACACTACTATTTTTCTTATTAAAATTATTATTCTTATTAAAATAGAGTTTGTCCACAACCAGACTTCAGATCTAGCCTCAGAAGGCAGGGAAGGGATGAGCCATGTTGGAAGCTAATCGGTCAATGAGCCAGTGAAGCAGCAAGCATTGACGAAGTACCTCCTATGGCCAAGGAAGCTTGCTGAGTCAAAAACAGTCCCTGCCCTTCAGGGAACTTGTATTCTCCTAGGGGAGAAAACGGGCATATAACTAAATACCTAAATAAAACGAACTAACTAAATACGGGTATACAACTGAAATATAGACAGAGCAGATGGAAGGTGACCTGAGAGGGGAGGCAGGAGCAGCTGGGAGAATGTGAGAAAAGCCTCCTGGAGAAGGTGAGGGTGGAAGGAAGTCAGGAGGTGACAGGCGAGGAGGGAGAGAATTCCAGGCCTAGGGTACAGCTACAGTGTGGAGGGAGGGGATGGCATGTGGTGAGTAGGAGTGGAAGGGTAAGAAGGTGAGGATGACTGCTGTGGAGTGATGGAGGGAAGAAGGGGGTAACAAGGCTGGAGAGGGAGCAGGGCCAGGCTGGCAAGAGCTTTAAATGCCAAACAGAGGAGGCACCTCCGTCCTCAGCTGACATCTGCTGCTCCTACAAAGCCCCGAGGGCAGCTCCCTGGTCAGTGCTGAGCACTCACCTGGAGCCGGGGGTGGACAAATCCCAGTAACTCCCCGCAGGGAGACCGAGGAAAATCCACGGGCTCTATGATCTTATAAGCCACAATGTCGAAAGCAGGGAATGAGGTACCTGGGGGGGACGGAGAACGGGAATCACGGAACATTAAAGCTGGAAAGACCCACCCCCTTGTTTTACAGATGAAAGAGGGGACTGGACTTGGCCAGGGTCACACAGCCAGTTGGGGCAGCACCTAGGACTCAGACCCAGGTCCTCTGCCCAACAGACCTGTGAGGGAGAGAGGCTGCAGACCCTGGCAGCTCCCTCCCCTGCCTCATGGGTCCTAATGAATCTGTTTATTTTGCATGCATCAGATCGGGCATTCCTTGAAGGCCAGGTTTCTGGTGAAGCTTTGTATGCCCAGGACCCAGCATAGGCTTCTTCATGAACTAGGCTAATCAGCTTTTGTTGGATGACAACGGATGAGTGGATGGGTGGGAGGCTGGATGGACAGAAGGACCAGATGAGTGAACCTGAGGATGGCCAAGGATCCCCAAGGCCTACGGGGTGGGGAGGGGGAAATGATGCTCAGGGACCTTCCTTCTCCCCCCAGCACTTGGTCATTTCTCCCTCATGCTTGGGGCAGATTCCTGTCTTGGCAAATGCTGAGGGTGATGATGGGGCTGCCAGGGTGGAGCCATCAGGTAGGCCCATCCAGGCTGTTCTGGGACAGGACGGGGGGCAAGCCCTTCCTCTGTCTCCACCTTCTAGCCTCGAGAGCCTCAGCAGAACAGCCTAGCCTCTAGAGGTTAAGGGGGATAAAAGGGGGTAAGGATTCCTGCAGGGAGGGCTTGGGGCACTCACCCTGGTTGAAGAGGTCGTTGAAGTCCAGACCACAAGCCACCAGGGCTCTCATATGAGACAAGACATCAGCTCGAAGCACCCTGTGTGGGTGGGAAGAGGGAGGCAGTCCTCTCATAAGAAACAGGGACACAAACACGCACATACACACCACACACAGCCTGACTGCCCCGTGACAAGGGGCTTACCTCCCCTCACCCCCATAGAGAGACCTCAGCTCCCCTGGGGCTAGAGTTCCCCTCAAGCATTCAGACACCTCATCCCCCCAGAGACATCAAGGTCCCCTTCCAATTTACACATCCCTCATCTTCCTTACCAGTTGAGCAGAAGCCCTCCCTGCCCCATCATCTCCCTCCTCTGCTAGTCCTTCTCCCCTATCCCACCCCACCCCACAGGGAAATGACTTTCTATCTATTTTGTGTTTGCTTTTCTAAGGCACAATGCATCCCGCTACATCCTGGCAACGAAAGGAAGGTCCTTTAGCGCAGGGGCTGCTTTATTTTTGTCTTTGAATCTCCAGCCCAGAGCCCACAACGTGGTACCTGAATAAATGTTTGTTGAATTGGATTGGAAGCCTGCAAGGCCTCTCAATGGGATGGTTCCCCAGGATAACAAGAGCAGCAGGAGAAAGAAAGGGATTTAAGATGAAGTTTTCCCAGGGGTTTCTGAGCTTCCCTTGTGGTCTGCTTGGAGCCTCACAATCTCCCTATTATTATTATCTCATTTTTACAGAGAAGGAAACTGAGGCTCAGAGAGGTTGCATGCCTAATATATGTCTGAGGTGAGACTTCAGCCCAGGTCTTCCTTGCTCCGAATCCAGACTTCTATCCATTTACGGCAAGCCAAAGGCTCGCTTTCCAATTCTACCTTGGATGCTCACAAATTGTAAGCCGTGGGGCCAGTTCCCTAACCTATCACCCATGTTTCTTCATCTGTAAAATGAGTGGGCTGGGTTGAGTGGCCTTTGAGGTCCCTTTCAGCTCCAGAGCTGTGACCTCCCCTCATCTCCCACAGAGAAACCTCAGCTCTCTCAGGTCCCCCATCTTCCTGCCCCTCCCAAAGACCCTAGTCTCCAAGGCCCCCTTTCCACAACACTATTTAGGAACCTCTTCCCTGAGGGCCCATCTCCTCTCATCCCCCCTCTCCTCCAGACAGCAAAGGCCCCAGTGGAATCCACATCCCCCAAAACATATACACTAAGGAACCCCAATCCCCTAGAGCTCTATGGGAGAGCCCAAGGTCCATCCTGTTCCCATCCCTACTGGGGTCCCCATTTGTAATACCCAGGCCATTCTTGGCAACTGACTGGAGGGCATAGCTTTCCTGTCCAGGACAGCCATATAGATAGATTGGACATGGGCTCTGAGTGTGTTTCTGAAAGGCAAAGGAACAAAGGGGGGGTCAACGTGGTGGTTCTCAGGAGACCTGGGCTCTAGACCTGCATCTGTCATAGTTGAGGTGCCAAGGTAGATGAGTGGCTCCGCATTTCTAAGCCTCTGTTTCCTCATCTGTAAAATGGGGTGATGACATCCACCTTACCTTTCTTTCAGGGTGTGATGAGCAGTTTGGGAAGGAAGAAGGTGGGGTTGAGGCACTGGGAGAGGGAGAAGGTGCTCAATAATTATTTGTTGAATCAATGAATGAGCGAATGAGTGACTGTCTCCTGCCTCTCAAGTCCAAGGCTTTTTCTACCCTACTGAAGGTAAGGGAAAGGGAAGGGGAGGTAAAGGGAATAAGGTGAGGGAGGCCGGCCATGTGGTGGAACAGAAAGAACCCTGCATTTGGAGTCAGAGGACCTGGGGGGAATCCCTGGTTTTGTGAGGTATTGCTGGTACGATCTTGGACCACTCTGACCCTCAGTGTCCTTCACTGTCAAATGAGGGAACTAGATTAGACAATCCCCAAAGGCCCTTGCACCTCTAAATCTGTGGTGCTAGAACTTAGACCAGCTCGGTCCTCATTCTCCTGGGAGACCCAGGGCCTGGCTCCTCTCTGGCCAATCCTAAAGGCCGAGGGTCACACTGTGTGGGAAAGGGTGAGGAAGGGGACCTGGATATAGTGACACGTATGCATAGTGAAGATGTTCTCCTCAGAGTCCGAGATCAGGCAGGCCGCCATGTTGGAGACTGTGTTGTGAAGGGCCAAGATGAAGTCGAAGGCGTCAGCTGAGCCTTTGGGACCCAAGAGCTGGTTGATCTCCTGGGCCTGTCTCACCTCATACGGGCCATCCCGTGTGTCCTGGGAGCTGTGAGGTCACTGTCTGGAAGGCAGCCAGCCAGCATTCACAGGCAACTATAACAGCAGCCTCAAAGTCAACACTACTGATTGCATTTTCCCCTAATAAAGCAGTCTCCCACAAGATCCTGACTTACTGTTTAAGTGACAATTTGTCTTATGCAAATATGCTGTGATTGGTGGTTTACGGCTCACCTCTCCATGGATAGCTCACCTGCTTTTAAACATTACCTGGAAAAGTGTGGGGAGCTGAGATTTCACATTTCTCTGGCAAGCACAGACTGAGATGCTTGAGGGTCCTAGTTCAAGATCTTTTACTTTTGATTTGATTTAGTAAAATGCATGTGTGAATGAGTCATCCTTTTGGGTCATGCAAAATGGGAAAGAAACGAGTCTCTTGATGGGATGGGGGCTGAGCCAATCTGACCAGTTACAGATCATTGCTGGGAATTCTCCTGCCCTTAGATTATTGTAGAATGAAGCCTGGCTGAGGCCCTGGGAGCTGGGGCAGCCACAGGGCGGGATGATGGCTTGTCATCGGTCCTCCTTCTTTCAGGGTCAAGGGAAGGCCTAGGCACAGCTAGGGCACCACTCACGTGAGGAAGGCCCTTGTGAAGCTTCTGTTCAGGTCCTGGCTGACATAGCGGATGCAGTGCTTTGTGGCTTTGGGGTTGGCCAGGAAGGGCGTGGCTGCAAAGGTCCCCCTCTGCAGCTCGGAAGGGCCCTGTAGCCAGTGTTTCACCAGGTAGATGCTGCAGAGCTCATTCCCGTGGGTGCCTCCCATCACAGCCACACGCTCCAGCTGACGCTCTCTGGGGGGTGTTGAGTACATCCTGGAGTCTGTACCTGGAACAGAAAAGGGGAGACTGCTCCTTGGACCCTCATCCCCAGAGACTGGGTGGCCTTAGGCAGTTGCTATGGCAAAGAGGGGCCTCGTGGGGCCCTTGCCTCTCTTTGGGGCCCCAGGCACTTCCCAGCTTGCCTTGTCCTGCCTTCCAGAAGCTCAGAGCTGACAAAGCCCCACAAAGGCAGGCATGTCAGCAGACAGGCCAAGAGGCACAAATCCCCTCTGCTAGTGGAGGCAGAGGCTTCAATGGAGGGTTTGGAGTCAGAAGTTCTGGGTTCTAACCCCATCTCTGACACTTCCTGTCTAGGTGACCTTCAGCAGTCATTTAATATGTCTAATCCATAAAGGGAGGGTTGTAGTAGGTGACTTCTTTTTTTTTTTTAAATTAGGCAGTTGGAGTTAAGTAACTTGCCCAGGGTCACACAGCTAGTAAGTGTCTGAGATTGGATTTGAACTCAGGTCTTCCTGATTCCAGGGCCAGTGCTCTATCCACTGTGCCCCCTAGAGGCTGCAAGTACATGATTTCTAAGCAGGAGTAGACATGGGTAGTAAAAAGAGTTTAGAGGGGCAGCTAGGTGGTGCAGGGGATAGAGCTCTGGCCTTGGAGTCAGGAGGACTTGAGTTGAAATCCTGCCTCAGACACTTGACACTTATTAGCTGTGTGACCCTGGGCAAGTCACTTAACCCCGATTGCTTCACAAAAAAACAAAAAAACCCAAACAAAAAAAGGAGTTGGAGTAAGTGACTTCTGAGGTTGCTTCTGGCTCTGCATCAACGACCCTGGACCTCTTGTGTGTCTAAATGTGAGTTTTGGACAGGGGGATGATAGAAGTGGGGGGATGGTAGAAGTGGGGGGATGGTAGAAGTGGGGGATGGTAGAAGTGGGGGGATGGTAGAAGTGGGGGAATGGTAGAAGTGGGGGATGGTAGAAGTGGGGGGATGGTAGAAGTGAGGGTCTGGGGACAGGGAGATGAAGAGTTCTCTGACAAAGATCAGAGATCTGAGATAGAATAGGAATGAATACAAAGATATGGCCTTATTAATAAGAGCCATTCCCCAAAAGATAAATGGTGAAGGGATATAAACAGGAAATTTTCAAAAGAAGAAACAGAAGCTATCAGCAACTATATGAAAACACATGCCAAATCACCAATAGTCAGAGCAATGCAAACCAAAACAACTCTGAAGTTCTATCTTATAACCTTGAGCTCCCTCAAGACGTCAAAAGAGAGAAATGGTAATTGCTGGAGGGGATGTGGGAGGATGGGCACATTACTATACTGTTAGTGCAGAGGCAAATCATTGCCACCATTCTGGAAAGCAATTTGGAGCTATGGTTCAAAACTTGTGAGATCACCCTGATCTTCTGATACCGCTACTGGGCTGATGCCCCAAAGACAGCAAAGAGAGGAGGAAAGCATCCATATGCGCAAAAACATCTGTAGCAGCTCTTTCTGTGTGGCGAAGAATGGGAAATAAAAGTGGCGTCCATCCCTCGGAGCATGGCTGAACAAGTTGTGATACAAGAACGTGGTGGAATACTACTGAAATTATGCATGTGATGGATTCAGAGAAACCAGAGAAAACAGCTAAACTGACACACAGGGCAGAGAGCGGGAACCGGAGAATAATGTGTACAATGATTAGAGTAATGCAAACAATTATAACAGGAGTCTAAAACATACCTACACTACCTAAGACGGTGTCATGTAGAGGCACCCCAACTCACTCAGGGTACCTGAGAACTCTGAGGGGGGAAGTAACTAGTCTGGCTTTGAGAGAGCCGGGAAGAAAACCACTTTAAAAATCTTTTCCTTTTGAATTTACTCATTATTTAATTCTTAAAAATGGAATTCACTGGGGTTTTTTTTATGTTTTAAATTCCAAATTCTATCCCTCCCTCCCTTCTCTCCCTGTGCTGGGAGACGGTAAGCACTTTGATACATGTGCAGTCATGCAAAACATTTTCACATTAGTCATTTTGTGTAAGAAAATTCAAACCAAAAAAAAGAAAGAAAATGAAGACGAACATGCTTCAGTCTGTATTCAGATACCAGCAGTTCTTTCTCTGGAGGTGGATAGCATTTTTCATCATGAGTTCATTGGGATTGTCTTGGATCATCGTATTGTTGAGAACGGCAAACTCATTCACAGTTGATCGCCGTACAATGTTGCGGTCACTGTGTGCAGTGTTCTCCTGGCTCTGCTCACTTCACTCTATATTAGTTCGCCGAGGGCTTTCCGGGTTTTTCTGAAATCATCCTGCTCATCATTTCTGGTAGCACAATAGTAGTCCAGCATGGCAATACACCACAGCTTGTTCAGCCAAACTGAGGCATCCCCTTGATTTCCAATTCTTGACCATCGCCAAAAGAGCTGCTATAAATCTTTTTGTACGAATAGGTTCTTCTCCATTCTTTTTTTATCTCTTTGGGATGCAGACCTAGTGGTAGGATTGCTGGCTCAAAGGTGACACACAGCCCCTTTAGGTACAGTTTCAAATTATTCTCCAGAATGGTTGGATCGGTTCACAACTCCACCTACAATTCATTAGTGTCCCAGTCCCACATCTCCAACATTTGTCATTTTCCTTTTCTGTCGCATGAGCCGATCTGCTAGGTGTGAGGTGGTACCTCAGAGTTGTTTTCATTTGTATCTCTCTAATCATCAATGATTCGGAGCATTTTTTCATGACTATGGATAGCTTTGGTTTCTTCATCTGAAAACTTCCTGTTCATAGCCTTTGACCATTTATCAATTGGGGAATGACTTGTATTTTTATAAATTAGACTCAGTTTGAGAAATGAGGCCTTTATCAGAGACGCTTGTAAAAAATTCCCCCAGTTTTCTGCTTTCCTTCTAATTTTGGTTACATTGGTTTTGTTTGTGCAGGGGCAGGGAGATGGAGCACCAAAGGAGGGGGAGGGGTTTGAGGAAGGGGAGGATAGAAGGACCTGTGGACAGAGGGACAAAGAACAGGGTAGGAAGGATAGCAGAATGGATGGGCAGGAGCAAGAGGAAGAGAGCAGAAGAAGAGAGAGGGGGATGGAAAGACAAGAAGGTGGAGGATTAGCAAGTGGGGGGGTTTTGGAGGGGGCACAGAAGGATGGGGAATGGAAGGAAAAGGAGCTAGAGGAGCAGGGATGGAGGGAAGAGGGGACGGGAGATGGGAGATGAAAGCCCAGAAAGGGTCTGGCTCAGCACTGACCTGGGCTCAGTCTCTCCACCACTGTCTGCTCCCTCCCTGGGTGAGGCTCCTTCTCTATGGGAACCTCATTCTCGAAGCTCCAGGTTTGGGAAGGTGGTTCAAAGGCTGCCCGTGTCTCCAGCAGCTGCCCAGAGTTCACTGGATCTTGACAGGCACAGGAGACTTTGGCCTCATGACCTGTCCTTCCCTCACTACGCAGTGACCAGGATCTGTCTCTTGCCAAGCCTGGACGTCCTCTAGGCTGCCTGAGCGCCTATGCCGGATGGGAGTGGGCAGGCCAGCTGAGAGCCGAGTTAAAGGGAAAGGAATGAGGACAGAGCAGAGCTTTCCCATTTCGCTGAGGGCAAAACCTCTCTTCTATTTCCCCCTGTCAGCTCAAGGGAGAAGAGAAAACACATGGGCTGCGAGAGGGGAGGGGGGATTGGGGTCACTACCAGTCTTTATGTTGGACAAGTGAAAAGAACTAAACATGGCAGTGGAAGGGGTAACAAAACAGTCTCTGACTGTGGAGAGAAAAGCACTTTGCAAGCCCTGGGCCCCCAGCCCAGGCCCTTAACCCTTAACCCAGTGCCCCCTCCAGCTAAGACAGAACTGCAGAGAAAGTGTGAAGATATGCGGGGAGGAGTTAGTTTCTTCCCAGAGAGAGGAGGGGGAGGAGCAAGAGGAGGAGGAGAAGGGGGAGGAGGGGAGGAGGGGGGGAGGAGGAGGAGGAGGAGGGGAGGGTGAGGAGGAGGAGGAGGAGGAGGAGGAGGAGGAGGAGAACATGGAGTTAACTTTCTAGTTAACTGCAGGTTTACCTGCAAGCTCTGTTGAGGTCTAGGGGTTCTGGGAACCCTGAAATTCAAGGGCAAAAAACCTTGAAAGAATTCAACTCATGCCTTCTTTCAGTCAGAGACTAGGTTTATTAAAACACCAGTGAAGGTGGGCGAGACTTGAAGAATCCATGCTATAGGCCAGATTTTAATAATCTGACCAATTTGGTAGACAAGACTGACCTTTAACTGATGGAGTCATTGGGAGGTAACCCGGAAGGGCCTAGAAGGAATTAAGGGTGCAAAGTGGCTGGGGGCAATCGGGAGGTAAGAGACCATGAAGGGCTGGGCTAGGTCAGAAGTCACAGAATTGGAGACTGCAGCAGCCAAGCCACAAGGCCAGGACAGTTGAAAGGATTATTAACTGGGAAGGGCCAGGTGCCCTAGCTGAAAAGTCCAGGGCTTTGTAGGGGTTCATCTTCAGTGCCCCATTACTCCCAACCATAACCCCCCACACAACCAGTGAGCATACAACACAAAGTAAAACAGCAGACCCACAGAGCACATTTAACAGCATATATAGTTTTCCTCACCCATTGTCCCCCACCTCCAGAGCCCGGATGAGAGGAAGCCTCCCCCTGAGTGCCAGAGAACAATTTTCTAGCTCTTTCAGTGGGATAGAAAGCTGCCTGCCACAAGAAGGGGGCAGCAACCTCCAGGGTGGAAAAGTACATATTCTCTAACCAGATGGCCATGCAGCCCCCCCAGCCCCCAGACAAGCACTGGGAGGGCTTGGAGGCCCCTCTTCCTGGCCCTGCCCAGACATACTTACCTGGGAGCCAGGTTTTTAACCACTGCTGCTTACTGTGAGGTGTGGGATGGCTGATTCCCAGATGGGGGGGGTGACTCTGGCCCTGCCCCTCCCCTTCCTCCCATCCCCCACCCACCAGTTTTGCCAGGTTCAGTGATTTTTCAGCTACTGCCCTAGAGGGCCCTTCCCCACTGTCCTACTAGTTTCCTGTGCTTGACTTCCCACCGTCTAAAACTTGAAACCTGGGACTCTGTGCTCTGGCTCTGAGCTGGTGCTTCTCCAAACTTTCTGGGCCCCTCTTAGGGTCATCTGTAACATGGGGGTGAGCTTCCCTCACAAGACAATGAGGATGGAGAGGAATAATGGTGGTAACCGGCTCCAGTTCAGTGCAGATGCCCAGGACTTAGCTCAGTGCTTGGCACATAGTAGGTGCTTACTAAATGCTTACTGACTGACCTGACTCCTCCTTTCCTCCTTCCTGCTCTCCTTTCCTCCTTCCCTCTCTTTTTTCTTTCTTCCTTTTTCTTTCTCTCTTTCTTTCTCTTCCTTCTTTCCTTTCTCTTTCTCCTTTTTTCCCTTTCTCTTTCTCTTCCTTCTTTCCTTCCTTTCTTTTTCTTTCTTCCTTTCTCTTCCTTCCTTGCTGTTTCTTTTTTCTTTCCCTCTTTCTTTTTCTTTTTTCCTTTCCCTTTCTTTCTCTTCCTTCCTTCCTTCCTTCCTTCCTTCCTTTCTTTCTTCCTTTCTTTCTTTCTTTCTTTCTTTCTTTCTTTCTTTCTTTCTTTCTTTCTTTCTTTCTTTCTTTCTTTCTTTCTTTCTTTCTTTCTTTCTTTCTTTCTCTTTCTTTGCAGGCAAGCTCCCCTCCCCTCCCATATCTCAGCTCATTTCAGCCCTGCTCCCCAGCCCCCACTGCCCAACAGAGCCCCAGCCCATCCATCTCCCTGCGGCCAGAGCTGCCACTGGCCCGACTGGTATTGAGCAGCGATATGAAGAGGTGTGAGAGAGAGTGGTGGGCGCGGGGGACTGGCTGGCAGGAGAGATGGATGAGGGAGGCAAGGAGAGGGCAGCAGGAGAGCCCCAGGCAGGAGAGAGACAGGAGGATTGAGGCAGGAGCCCACAGAGCTGGAGCTGTCAGCACACACGCATGCATAGACATGCACACACATATGTACGCATACACAGACTCACACAGATATACACACTCAGGGAGGCCCACATACACATGGACCAGGCAGTGGAAAGGCTGCTGCCTTTGAGGTCCAAACCCCGAGTCTGCAAACAAGCTCTCCAGCCTGGGGCCTTCTGTCCAGAGCTCAGCTGTTCAGGGACACTGTTCCAGCCAAGTCCTCTGAAGTGGTTGAGATGGGATGACAGATGTGGTCTAGTCTGGGGTGCTGCTAGCTGAGCCCCACTTCCTCGACTGGTATGGTCTAGTCTGGGGTTGAGGGCTGTGGAACGTCGGGCTTCGGAAGGGGAAAGAGCTCTCCCCAACAGCTTCAAGGCCACAACTCCCTCGCCCTCAGTCACCAACTTGGTGGAGTACTTGCCGTATGCCCAGCCCAGGGCCAGGACCACAATAGGGGGGGTGGGGGTGGGGAGCACAGAAGGGCCCCTTGGAGACAAAGCCCTGGCCCTGCTGCTGGCAGGGAGCCCAAGAGGGCAGGCCCTGGGTTCCAGGGGGGCCAGACACAGCCCTTTCCAGGCCTCAGCCAGCCAGCAGAGAGGAGCAGCCGGCTCCTGTAATCAAGGTGACCCCATCTCTATCTCAAAGAAAGATCAGGGCTCTCAGCTTTCTGTCTAACCCTGGGTGGCATCAGTCATCTAAAGCAGCTAGTTGTCAGGCAATAAACACTTATTAAGCCCCTGCTGTGTGCCAGGCATTGGGCTAAACACTGACGACATAAAGAAAGATAGAAGGAGGTCAGTCCCTGCTCTCAAGGAGCTAGGAATCTAGTGAGGAGGACGACCCTCTGTAAGGAGGCACAAAGAAGCTCACCTGGACAAAGTAAAGCAAGCTGCATGGCCTTGGAGAGGCAGTAGGATGTGGAGCAGGCACTCTGCTCAGGGCTCAGCCAGACCTCGGCAACGTCTCGCTCGGTCTCAGTTTCTTCACCTGTAAAAGGAGGATATAAGAGGCGTTGACCCCCCAAAACAGCGTCTGTTCTAAGAAAGAAAGAGTTAGGGTGCGTGTGTCCGCATTTCAATTTCTTTCACAGGCTGGTATGATTCACATTGCGTGGAGTTACAGTCCCAAACTAAGCCCGCCTAAGGGGCCAGTCTAGAAGGGGCTCAGTCTGGGATCTTGAGGTACCCGACTGTACACCTTCTCAACTCACATCCCCAGTGGAGCGGCCGGCAAAGGCCAGGAGGCCTGCAGCTCAATTACACAAGTGCCTACACTGTCCTAGGCACCAAGGACACAAGTGAAACTGTCTCTGCCTTCCAAGAGCTTGGGAGGGGGAGGGTGGAAAGAGGAGAGGAGAGGAGAGCAGTAACTGAGAATTAAAAGAAATTCAGTCTTTGAAGAGGCAGAGGGGCCGAGGAAGGTCCTGGCAGCTGTGGAGGACAGCTGGCCTGAACAAAGGTTGGGGCGGGAGATGGCACAGCAAGTGTGAGGCCAGCTACCCAGGCTGAGCATTTATTGAATGCTTACTGTGTGGCTGGCATCGTGCTAAGTCTGGGGGGCAGATCCAAGCCTGCTGACAGTCCCTGCTCCCAAGGAGTTTACATCCTGATGTCAAGGGGCCTCGCATGCCAGGCTCGGAGTGTGTAATTGATTTCCAGAACAGCAGCGCGGCACCACAGCTTGGCGAGTGGGGGAGTAATGCCGTTGGCCCTGGGCTTTGGGGAGGTCACTGAGGCGGCTGAGTGGAGGACAGGCTGGAGGCCGGGAGGCCAGCAGGATGCTGTTGCAATAGCTCAGAGGAGGGGTGCAACCAGGTGGGGGCTGGAGGTGGAGGACAGGACTTGGCACAGCCTCGTGGGGCCATTGTGAGGTCATGACTATTGTTGCTGCCATTAGAGGATTCTAAGCTCACAGGCCTACAGCTGGAAGGAACCTCAGTGGTCATCTTACAGAAAAGGAAACTGAGGCCAGAGATACAGAACCATGGTTGCTTCTCCCAATCACTGGGGCCGCTCAAGGTTGGGCTTTGGCCTTGTTTAGAGGGAGCTCAGACACCCCCCCTGCTTCCAGCTTCCTTCGGCCCACAGTGACCTCTGCCCCTGCCCACATCCTCATCCTCACACTCAGTGCCCTCGCCATCACTACCCTTGCTTGCAAAGAACCATGAGTGCAGGATTCAGGGCTGAGCTCGTGGGCACCAGAACTGGGTCAGACTGGGCTGGGCTGGGCTGGGTTCACAGGCACCAGAACTGAGCTGGGCTGGACTCCAGGGCATCAGGGTTGGGCAGGGCTGCTCCTGCAGACACAGGTCTGTTTTCCCCTCCAGGGACCCTGGGGGGCCTTAAGGCAGCATCCCTGTCACTGTTATCTCCAAATCATCATCTGGAAATTGCTTGAGTGGGTCAGCTGCCAAAGAAGACAAGGGGGCTGGCCTAGTGGGACCCAGGAGGTGGGAGGAGATGGGGATGAAGGGGGGGCGGGGAGGGAGGCTGCCATCATCCACCACTCCTTTCCACGGCTCCTCTTCTGGACCACTCTCTCCTGAGCCCCGCCTGGTCCAGAGCTTTCCAAGAGACAGTTGCTGCTCATTGCCCTCCAGAAGCCAGGCAGCGAGGGCAAAATCTGGGCAAGCCAGTGGAGCTGCCCCCTGGTAGCCAGGAGAGACCCAGTCACCCACCTGTGGAGATGAGCCGGGAAGACTGAGGGAGCCCCTCAGAGAGAGACGGACCAAGAGAAGGTTCTGGGCATGGAGTAAGAGGCAGATCTGAAGAGATACAGAGACTACCCGGGACCGCAGAGACAGAGACGAGAGGCAGAGACTGTATCGTCAGCAAGTACACGGGCCAGGGTGGAAGAGAAGAAAGATCACTGCAGAGACACTCCAGGAATGCCGAGTAAGTCTTGCTGGGTGGGGGCTCAGAGGTGTGGGTGCCTGGGAGCCGGGGCAGGCTGGGCTGAAGGTCTCTGCAGGACGGGACAGGACCAGACAGAGGAGGGTGGGAAAGCAGAGCAGCCAGAGGGAAACTGGGGAGACCCGGGCACAGGCTGCCCCCAGCGGTCGCAGGCTCAGGCTTCAGTAAAGAACAGGAGTCGTGGAACCGAGGGGCTCAGGGGCTCAGAAGTGCAGACCGCCTTTGCTTCGGAGCCTGTGGAGAAAACTCAGCTTCAGAGCCCAGCTAAGGGCACTGTTGGGTTTAGCCAGCAAAGGGGGAAGACGAGGTCAGGGAGAAGGAGATGTCTGTGTTCGGATATCTAAAGGGCTCTCCCAGGGATTAGCTTGGATCTGAGTGGTCCTTGAGGGTAGAAAAGGGTTGTTCAGAATACGGAAGAACTCCCGAAAATTCACAGCAGTCCAAAAAATGGAAGAGTTTGCATTGTGAGGTAGTGAACTTCCTGTTTCCAAAAGCATTCAAGCAAAGACAGGATGACCACCTTTCAGATACTGTAGAAGACGAATGTGGGTAGTCAGGGAAGGCCTCCCGGAATAAGGGGCTCCTGAGAAGGGCTTGGAAGACAGCCAGAGAGACTGAGAGGAGGATTAGGCAGAGGAAGACCCGCTGAAGGACTGGGCCAGTTAACTTGGAGAAAAGAAGGCTTAAGGTGGCTGGAAGTGGACGTCAGGCTGTCTCCCAACAGAGGAATTAGCATGGCTCTACTCAGCCCCAGAGCCAGCCTTGGGAGCTGCCAAAGCAGAAATAGAGGACGAGCGTGGCTTTTGGCTTGACTCCTCCAAAAGCCACCGTGGCCGTGACCGAGGCGAGCCCCTCCTTGAGGGTCCTCAGACAGAGGCTGAGGCAGAGCGCCCCAGGGGGAGGATTCTTCAGGCATTGGGTGATTGGCTGGGAAAGGGCAACAGTGAGTTTGTTTGGACGTATTCATCTGTTGTCCCCATTCAGTTGTGTGTTGCTTGAGTGCAGGGACTATCTTTTGCCTCTTTTTGCATCCCCGGAACATAGTAGGTGCTTAATAAATGATTATTGATTACATAGCACCTACTGTGTGCCAGGCACTGTGCTAAGTGCAGTTTATAAATATTATCTCATTTGGTCCTCACAATACCTCTGCAAGGTAGGTGCTAGCATTGTCCCCATTTTACAGTTGAGGAAACTGAGGTAGGCAGTGGTTACATGACTTGCCCAGGATCACACAGCTGGTAAGTGTCTGAGGCTAGATTTGAGCTAGTCTTCCCAACTCCAGGCCCAAAGCTCTATCTGATGTGGTACCACCAGGTGCCTCAAAGGAGAGGCTGGATACCTCTAAAGTCCCTTCCAACTCTGAGGTGCCACATCCCCATGGGATGGGAAGAGGCATGAGGCTGGGCCTTCACATCTGAAGAAACCTTGGGCGACCACGCCCTGCCCTCTTGTTTTACAGATAAAGAAACTGAGTCTCCAAGATGGGAAATACCTTGCTGAAGTCGCTTGACTTGGAAGTGTTAGGATTTGCACCAGCAATTCTGCTTCCAAATACATGTTTCTAGGACCCCAGGCTGCTTGCTCAGGCCGCTTCCAGCTCCAAAAGCCTTTGATTTTTTTCTTAACGGGATTTATATGCTATAGGCATGGAGTGGACTGTGTCCCTCTCCGCAGGACCCAGAGCCACATGTTGTGGAAAGAGCCCTTGAGAGGCAGAAGCCCCACTGTGGCCACTGATTCCTGGGTGACCCTGAGCAAATCCCCTCTGGGCCTCAGCCTCCTCCCCTATAAAATGAGCAGGTTCAGCTAAGAGCCCTCTTGGCTCTATGATCTTAATTCTTCCAGCTCCTAGGTGGCTGAAAGAGGGACAGAGGAAGGAAGGAAGGAAGGAAGGAAGGAAGGAAGGAAGGAAGGAAGGAAGGAAGGAAGGAAGGAGGGAAGAAAGGAAGGAGGGGAGGAAGGAAGGAAGGGAGAAAGGGAGGAAGGGAGGGAGGAAGGAGGGAGGAGGAAGGGAGGGAGGGAGGGAGGAAGGGAGGGAGGGAGGGAGGAAGGGAGGAAGGGAGGGAGGAAGGGAGGGAGGGAGGGAAGGAAGGAGGGAAGGGAGGGAGGGAGGGAGGGAGGGAGGGAGGAAGGAGGAGGAAGGAAGGAAGGAAGGAAGGAAGGAAGGAAGGAAGGAAGGAAGGAGGAGGGAGGGAGGGAGGGAGGGAAGGAGGGAAGGAGGGAAGAAACAAGCATTTATTAAGTACCTTAAGCACCTACTACTGCCAGGCACATGCTTAGCACACTAGACACTTTATAAATAGCACCTCATTTGATGCTTACAACTCTGGGAGGTAGGTGCTATTATGATCCCCAATTTGCAGATGAGGAAACTGAAACAGAGATTAAACGTCTTGCTCAGTCACACACCTAGTAAAGGTCTGAGACAGGATTGAAACTCAGACCCTTTCAGCTCCACGTCCAGCACTCTGTGCCCTGGGCCGCCTAGCTTCCCCCAGAGTGCAGTGAGTGAGAATCCAGGGCCTGAGTAACAGCCCTCCTCCCAGCCAGGCAGAACCCAGGAGCTCGAGGGCAGGACCTGTCACTCTAGGCTCCTCAGAGACCCTTGATCCCCTCTATCAGGCCTCCCATCAATGCTCCCAGTGCCAGCTGCCAAGGATCTCCTGCCATCTGGCTCCCTTGCCCCCACTGCTGAGTCATCTCTCCCCAGGACAAGGCAGGTCTGACATCCAGACCGTGATCTGGGGAGAGAGCTTGGAAAAACAGACCCACTGCTTTCACCGATTCACTAATGAGAAATGGGGGGGGGGGGGCAGGCCGACTCAAAGAAAATTCCGAGCTGTACAGTAGCTTGGTAGGGCACAGCTGGGTTCCTTTTGAGAACCTCCCCGTTCCACTAGACTTAACTCAAGAGTGTTAAGGTCCCCAGTGGAGTAGACAGATGGCAGGTGAATAGATAGATTTGTCTGACCCAGACCCAGGCCCAGAGGAGAGCTTGCTCTGGATGGCCCAAGGGCAGCTCAGAGCTCAGCTGCTTTCTGAGCCTGAGTACAAGGGCTAGAGTTGATGGGTGGGGCCCAGAATAAGCCTGCTCCAATCTTTAGTACAACAACACTCCCGGTCCACAACTCAGAATCTGAGAGGGGGAGGGGTTCTGGCCCCTGCATCTGGCATCTCACTGCTGGAAAGTGTCTAATGTAGGACCAGACCCCAGTCTTCCTGACCCTGGCGCCCTCCTGTCAGGGGGACACAGAACCATCACTGATGACCTGTTTGAGTCCAAACACCCTTCGGTTCTGGACCCAACCATATCGTCCCCTCGTCAGCATCTATCTCTCTACCTTTTCCAGGAGAAATAGTTATGAGACACTAATGAGAAGCTTTGCTGAGGACTCCTCACTGTCCCAGCAAAGAGAGGGAGATGCACCCACCAGAGAAGAGAAACCTGGACTGGGAGATTTGGGCTGGGCTGCTCCTTCTAGGGTGAGCTAGGCGTTAAGCACCTACTGTGTGCCAGGCCCACGCTAGCTGCCGGAGACACAAAGACATAAGACTTCCTGTGCTCCAGGAGCCTCCATACTAATAGTAACTCTTCTATACTATGACTAATGTGTCATACCAAGAGATGACACATATCTAAGTTTATTCAAAAGAAACCATTGGTCATTGGTGTGGGCAGGCACTAACACCTGAAGTAATCAAGAAAGGGACCTTCAAGGTCATCATTTTACAGAGGAGGAAACTGAGGCCCACAGGAGTGAAGTGATGAAGATCACCAGACAGCAAGCACCAGAAGCAGGCTTTGAACCCAGGTCACTGGACCCCAGAGTCAAAGTCGGCTCTCACTATGACTCTGCTTCTCTAGCCTTCATAGTCTCTGGGCCTCAGTTTACTCATCTATGAAAGGGATGAACATATCACTTGCCTTCTCAATCTGTAGGGGCGGGAAAGCATTTGGAACTAAAACTTCTCAAAAAATGTTATAAATCAATTGATCGATCAATTTGAAAAGGGATGAGGACACATGGCCCTCTTCCCTCAGAGGCCGGGCCCATGGATGAGTAAGCATTGTGAGAAGTCAAAAGTAATGTGAGGAATTATCATCATGATAACGGTTCAGGCTCACTCGTTGGGAGATCACTCATGTGGCAGCCTCTGCTATTCATGGAGGAGAATCTGGAGGAAGGTAAAAATGGTCCCCGAGCCCTGAGAAAGATGCTCCAAAGCCCACCTGGTAGAGCGCGTGCGTTTCTCTTGGGATTCTCCTTGCTAACATCGCCTATGGAGACCTTGGAGACCTCCCCTAACGCGCAGCTCATCACCTTCCAAAGCAGTCTATTCCACTTTGGGTCACTTCTGATTGTTAGAAAGAGTTCCCTTAGGAAGAGCTCCCTCCAGCTTCTCCGGATGTCTCCTGGATCTGTCCTGGGTGGGGCGGGACACACTGCTGGTCTGGTGCCTCGGCTTCTGGACTGCCAGATAGCCTCAAACACTTTTACTCAACAAAGGATTCCCAACAGGCTGGAGTGGCTGGGGGAGTTCTGGGAGCTCAGAACTGACTAGAAAGGGAGAGGAGGGGCCGTTGCTCAAGGCAGGCACTCAGACAACAAAGAAAAACTAGAAAGCAGACAGGATTCAAAGGCACAGCCCACTCGGTTTCTGGGTGGGCTCCGAACTGCCTGCAGGAGGAGGAGGAGGATGAGTGATCACCACTCCCCTGACTCCACAAGGAAAGGCCAAATCCCCGCCGTTGCTAGGGCAGGGACTTGGGTAAGGTGTTTGAGAAAGAATTCCGGCCGGAAGGCTACATGTGGAGAACAGGGTTAGAGGGGCTGGCTGCGCTCCTGGCTTCCTGAGGGAGCTCAGATGAGCCCCTTCCTTTCCCTGGGCTTTCTATTCTCCACGTTGAGGTGTCCAGGTGGCTTCTTCCCGCTGTGGCATCCTGCAGTCCCTTCCTCCTATCCCCCCCCCCTCTCCCT